TCTGAAGATGAAAGAATGGCATTATTAGCAGATATCAAGAACAGGTATAAAGTTCTGTAACAGGGATGGGTGGTCCCAGGACAGAGGAAAAAGCTAGAACAGACCCAAGGTGGGACAGATATCCTGCAGAACTATGTTCTCTGGTTGCTCTGTGTCCACTAGGGAGTCCACACTTACAGAAAAACTTGCTTTGTGACCATTTCATTAAAAAGTGTTGGGACAATTAATTATCCACATGGAAAAAAATGTATACAATTGGACTTTATCTCACTCCACACTCCCAAATCAGTTCCAAGAGAGATCAAGACCTGGCTGTAAATGACAAGACTTAGGATATAGAAGATGCTATGAAAATATCTTTCTGCTCCTGGGACAGGAAAGAATTCCTTAAACAAGACATAATGTCTGTTCATCACAAGAAAAGAAATCTGTCACTATGTATAGTGATGGATGTTAACTAGACTCCACATGATGAGCATTTCAAAATGTGTGCAAATATCAAATTATTATGTTGTACATCTGAAACTAATATAATGTTACATGTTGATTATGCCTCAAAAAAAAAAAAGACACAGTGTGCTTACTATAAAGGTAAATATTGATCAAGTGGAAGAATTTAAAATTAAATCCATAGAGACAGAAACAGATTAATGGTTGCCAGGGCCTCAGGGGAGAGGGGAATAGGGAGTGACTGCTAATGGGGACGGGGGTTCCTTTTGGGGTGATGGAAATGTTTTAGTTCTAGATAGAAGTAGTACTGGTTTTTCCAGTAGTCATGTGTAGGTGTGAGAGCTGGACTATAAAGAAAGCTGGGCGCCAAAGAATTGATGCTTTCAAACTGTGGTGTTGGAGAAGACTCTTGAGAGTCCCTTGGACTGCAAGGAGATCCAACCAATCCATCCTATAGGAAATCAGTCCTGAATATTCATTGGAAGGACTGATGCTGAAGCTGAAACTCCAATACTTGGCCACCTGATGCGAAGAACTGACTTATTTGAAAAGACCCTGATGCTGGGAAAGATTGAAGGTGGGAGGAGAAGGGGACAACAGAGGATGAGATGGTTGGATGGCATCACCGACTCAATGGACATGGGTTTGGGTGGACTCTGGGAGTTGGTGATGGACAGGGAGGCCTGGCATGCTACAGTCCATGGGGTTGCAAAGAGTTGGATACGACTGAGTGACTGAACTGAACTGAACTGAACTAAGTAGTGCTTACACGACATTGTGAATATACTAAATGCCACTGAACTGTCCACTTTAATATATGTAAATGGTAAATTTTGTTATGTTTATTTTATGACAATAAGATAAAGGAATTTGAAATTAAGAGCTTCTTAGAAACTTCCACTCAGGAGGAGAATTCCCTCCCCACGAGTGTGGGCTGATCTTAGTGATTTGCTTACAAATGAGAGAGCAGGGAAAGGTGGAAATGATAACCTGAGAGTGGATGAACTCGGCAGATAACCCCTTACCCTCGTGATCAAAATTAACATCCTCTGTGACGTCATGTGGACACCAGGGACCTCTGGTATGAAATGACGTGGAGGGAACCCAAGCTCTGCGATCTTCCTCCCAAACCGGATAACCCCAGTCTAGTCATGAGAAGATATTTGATGAGCCCAAATCAGGGGGGCTTTCAGCAAAATCCCTGACCAGCGCTCTTGAAAATTATCAAGGCCGTGAAACAGGAGGGAAGACTAAAGAAGCTCACAGCGAGGAGGGGAGCAAGGAGATAAGATGAGTAAATGCAACACAGGAACCTGGATTGGATCCTGGGCCAGAAAGAGACTACTAGTGGAAAAACAAGTGCAATATAAAGTTTGCAATTTAGTTAACAATAAGTGAAGAATAAATGCCAATGTCGATGTTTTAGTTTTGACATATGTTATCTTGTAGGGCTTCCCAGGTGGTACAGTGGTAAAGAACCTGCCTGCCAAAGCAGGAGTCACAAGAGACGCAAGTTAGATCCCTGGGTCAGGAAGATCCCCTAGAGTAGGAAACAGCAACCCACTCCAGTATTCTTGCCTGGAAAATTCCATGGACAGAGGAGCCTGGTAAGCTGCAGTCCATGAGGTACAGAGAGTCAGACACGACTGAGCAACTGAGTAACCTTGTAACCATATGTAAGATGTTAATATCAGTGGAGGCTGGATGAAAGATATACAGAAATGCTCTGTGCTTTTTAGAGCTCTGTACTTCTGCAGCTTTTTTATACATCCAACATCTTTCCAAAATAAAAAGGTTATTTTAAAAATTAAGAGCTTCTGTTGAGAAAATGATACCATGAATAGAATAAAAACAAGCCACAAAGTTGGAGATTTTTACAACACATGAAACCAACAAAAGATTCATAACTACAAATCAATAGGAAAAGACCATCATATTTTTTAAATAGATAAAACACTTCAACAGGCATTTCACCCTAATAAGAAACCAAAAAATTACATAAAGTGTTCTACTTTATGAGCAATCGGAAAGCTAATCAAGACCAAAATGAGGCACCATTTCACCCTTTCTATTTTGGAACAATTCAAAAACCCAGACAACTCAAAGTGTTGGCAAGGATGTGGAACAGTCAGATGCTTATACGATGCTATTGCAATGTAAATTGCTGAAGCCACATCAAAACAAGTTGAATATTATTTCATGAAGCCAAGTATGTAGGCGTTTTATGATCAAGCTATCACTACTCACGTGTACCAGCCTACATTTCTGAGGATGGTTATAAAAGCTGTGCTTGTGATAATCCCAGTGGGGAAATAACCTTAAAGTTCACCAACTGGAAAATAGATAATCAAAGATGTGCTGATTCAGGAACTTCTCCAGCAATCCAGTGATTAAGGTTCCTTGCTTCCACTGCAGGGGCAGATGGGTTCAATCCCTGGTTGGAGAACCAAGATCCTGCATTCCATATAATTAAACAAACAAATACTTTAATAAAATGTAGTAGGTCAAGGAATACTATACAGCAGTGAAAATGCATGCTCTACAGCTGACCACAGAAACTCAGATGAGTATCAATAAAATCATGTTGCACACACACACACACTCAAAACAAAGTTGTAAGAATGTGAGTTTTATTCTAGTTGTGTCAAGTTCAAAAATATACAAACCTAAACCATGATAAATATGTGGTAAAACTATGAGGAAAAGTAGGAGAATGAAAAACAAAATTCAACATATTTCATCATTCAGAGATGAGACAATAGATTGGGGCGGGATAGTGGCCCACAGGATCTTGCACTGTGATGATACTGTTCTGTATTCAAGCACCTGGCATTGCTGCTCCTTATTCCTATGCTTGCTCCTTGGAAGAAAAGCTATGACAAACCTAGACAGTGTATTAAAAAGCAGAGACATCACTTTGCCAACAAAAGTCCATATAGTCAAAGCTTTGGTTTTTCCAGTTGTAATGTATTGATGTGAGATTTGGACCAAAAAGAAGGTTGAATGTTGAAGAATTGATGCTTTTGGGCTCTGGTGTTGGAGGAGACTTTTGAGAGTCCCTTGGACTGCAAGGAGATCAAACCAGTCAATGTTAAAGGAAATCAACCCTGAATATTCATTGGAAGGACTGAAGCTGAAGCTCCAATACTTTGCCCACCTGATTCGAAGCATTGACTCATTAGAAAAGACCCTGATGCTGGGAAAGATTGAAGGCAGGAGAAGGGGATGATATAGGACAAGATGGTTGGGTGGCATCACCGACTCAATGGACATGAGTTTGAGCATGCTCTGAGAGATGGTGAAGGTCAAGGAAGCCTGGCATGCTTCAGTCCATGGGGTCACAAAGAGTCAGGCACGACTGAGTGACTGAACAACAACAAATTCCTTACCTATGGTTAATGGATATGGAATAAAAGTTAAAACAATGAGAATCACAACAGTGGTTAATGTTATACATTACTATTCCAAGTGCTTTCAGGTGTTAACTTATACAATATATCCTGCAACTCTGTGAAGGAGTTCCTGTTGCCTCTGTTTTACAGGCAGGGAAACTGAGGCAGAGTGGTCACATGACTTGTCTGAGGTCATGCTGGTGATTACAGGCAGAGCTGGGTTTTGAACACAGGCTTCACTAACTCCATATACATCTTGTGTTGATGAAGGTCCTTCATGTATGCTGGGGGCTGGGGACTCTCTGGGGCTCAGCCTCTGGGACTGTTCTAGGTACTGGTGTTACAGAGTGAACAGGTCTGTTGGCCACCAGCTCACTTGGAATTGCCGGGTCAGATGTGCGGAGAGGGATGGTGAGCAGAGCTATGCCGGGGTCAGGGCCCAACCAGAGGAAGAGTTGGAATCAGGGGAGTCTAGAAAGGTGGAGTCAGGGCTCAGTTTGGGGAATTAGGTAAGGCTTTCTGGAGAAGGGTATATTCAAACTGGGCATTGATGGATGAATAGGAGTTGCCAGTTACACAAGGGAGTGAAGGATGGAATCCAGTCCAAGTGTGTGCAAAGATCCACAGGCTGAGCAAAACAGGGACACAGAGAGAGACCCAAACAGGACGTGGCAGAGACACAGAGGGAGACACATTACCGAGAGAGACCGGGAGCCAGAGAGGAGAACAGAGAGACCCAGAGAGGGAGGCAGAGAAACAGAGGCAAAGAGAAATAGAGACACTCAGAAAGAGCAGAGAGGCAGCCAAGGTCTGGAGGTTGAGGGCTGAAGGAGAAACGAAAGCACGCAGAATCAGAAGGGAAGCCGCGCGGTGGCCGCCCCCAGCCCCCGCCCCGCTTCGGCCCTTTAAGCCCCACCCCCACCCCGCGAGCCCGCTGCGCCCGCGCCCCGTCAGGCGTCCGGGGCTCCGCCCGCCAGGCTCACATCAGCACCGCGTCAGGAGCTGTCCGCGCCCCCGGTGCTGAACCAAGATGGCCGGCGGCGGAGGCCGGGCCCCGGCGTGAGCCGAGCGAGCGCGGGCTGCAGCCCCCGCCATGCCCCACCCCAGCGGCAGCTAAATCTGAGCTGACGGAGCCGGCCCGCCGGCGACTCTGGAGACATGTCTCTGCTTTGCGTTGGAGGTAGGAGGCGAGGCAGCGGGACGGGGAGCCGATGTGGACCCGAACTGGGCTCGGGGTCCGTGTGGAGGCGGCTGGGCTCCTGAGGGGGTGACCCGCGTCCACGCGGCTGGACTTCTGAGGGGGTGCCTGAGAAGGTGATCCGTGTGGACACAGCTGGGCTCTCAGGGGGTCCTGGTTGCCGCTGCTGGGGTCATGTGGACACGGCTGGACGCGGAGGCCCGTGTGGACGCGGGCAGGGGTTCGGGGCTCCATCTGGAAACGGTCTAGTCTGGGTTGTCTGTGTTGAACAAGTTATTAGCGGGTTCGTGTGGAACGAGCTGGGTAGTTCCAATGAATCCTGCAGGGTCCTTGGAAGGAGTCTTGTCCTGTGGGCTGGGCTGCGGACCCGCCTCGGAATTCGGAAAGGAGTGCAGGGGGAGCGGTCTCCAAGCCCTGGGCGTGTAAGATTTGGGTAGAGGGGCTTGACTATTAGGACTACGGTGAGCTGTAGGTACTCCTCACCCTGGGAGAGGAGAGGACTGGGGGAGGAGGCCGGGGAGACCCCTTCCAGCATCCTAAGAGAGCTGTGATGGAGGGGTCTGGAGGCGCTTTTCCAGTTAACTCTTTGGTTTCCCCAGTGGGGGCTGGGGGAGTCGCCTGAGGGCCTCACCCTCTCCGCCCTCGTTGGCCACACCGAACAAACACCTATCCGACCTTCTCCGCAGGAAGCCGACCCCTTGGAAGTGCAGTACCCCCCTGCACCCATCACGGCCCACCTTCACCTCACCCACTTTGCACTGGAGGGAGGGAGGGAGGGAGGGAGAGGTGGGGTGGAGCTATTTTGGGGCCAGAACGCCATCTGCACCGAGGCCCACGCCCAGGCCCACGCTCTGCGTTTGGGTGGGTGGAGTGAGAGATTCCGGAGGGGCATGACTCCTTCCCTCCCCCCGCCACCCGCCGCCGCACCCCTGAGGCAGGGTGGGGGAGAAGCCAGCCCCCCTGGACCAAGGCGCCTGGGGCACTCCTGAGTTCTCAGCAGGGGACCTTGGCAGGGGTGGTGGCCCAACAAGGGTTCAAGGCTTATGGAGGTCTCAGCCTTGGGTTTTAAGTACTGAGGTCCATCTCCCCTCACTTCTACTCCCTTCCAGAAGGCTGAGGTGGAAGAAGAGGTGTATTGGCCAAGCCTGAGACGGCAGGCTTCAGGACACCTTAGGCAGCCAGGAGTGCGGTGTGTGTGTGTGTGTGTGTGTGTGAAAGAGAATGAGAGAGAGAGATCTAGAGAGGGAGAGAGAGAGAGAGAAGCATGAACCCGGCCTTCTGGACCCTGGTGGGAAGGCCCGGGAGCCGGGAACCGCCCCCGCCGCCCCTCCCCCTCGCCCCTCCCCCTGTGCTGTGACTCTCCATTCACAAACCCAGCCCCGCCCGCCCGCTCCCCGCCGCGGTGGCTTCCCTGGTGCTGCTCGCGCGGGGCTGGGCCGGCGTGAACACGGGTGTTCTTAAAGGGACAGGTGCCTCCTTCCCTTGATCTCATTCCTGACGGGCGGGGCTGGTGGTGGGCGAAGGGCCAGTAAAATCAAAAGTCAACTGGTTCAGCCCTTAGCCTACGGAGTTACGAGAGTCTAGAGGTGGAGCAGACCCCCACGCATCCCTCACAGTCTAGGCCCCAGGGGAGGGGGAGGTGAACATCCAACCCCCCTACTGGCCCCTCCCCCCTCCTCTGAACTGCCTAACACTTGAGAGGGGGTAGCCCTGGAGGAGCGGGTCAGTGTGGATTCCTGGCTGACTCCTCCAAGCTCTCTCTCCTCTGCCCCCTAGCCCCATTTCTTCTCTGGAATCTCACCCTTAACTCTGATGCAAACTGGAGTCTTGCCTACAGGGGTGGTGTGAAGCGGAGGCAGTAAGAGGGGTGAGAAAGAATTGTTTTGGATGACTTTGTGGAACTTATAGGGAAGGAGTCATCAGCAGAGCAGAGGGGGCTCGCTGGGAGGAGTAAGAAAGGGGATGAGGTGGGAAGTGGAGCCGTGAGGTGTAAAGAGAACAGTTGATGCTGGGAGAGGCTGTGTGTGTGTGGCGGGGGTGACAGAGAGCAGCAGGGAGAGAAATAACTGCTGAAAGGAGTGGGGGTGATGCCCAGAGTGGGGCATCGTGAAGGCTGAGGGGGAGGGGGAGAGTCAGGGCTGGGAGGGCTTTCCTTGGATCTGAGTTCACCCTTAGAGCTGAGGAAATACCTGCCCCTGACCCAGGGACCCACCCATGTTTGCCCACACCGGCATACACTGGGGCCTGTACACTCACGCCCAGGCTTGCCTCCCTTGTGTGAACAGAAGTGCTTAGGATTCACCAAGTCTCTATGAAGACCATGTGCCTGTGACTGCACATTCATGGACACATGTGCAGATTCATATGCCCATTGACACACACATACATATACACCGGACACAGTCTGTGCCACAGACATGGTCCCCATGATACAGGCATGTGTATCTACACTTAAACACACACACACACACAGAAATATATCCATACATGTTTGATGCATGTTTACAGTATCCATGTCACCTAAATATTAACTCGTGCCCTAACACTCAGGCATGTACCTATGTATACCTGTTAGGGCCCCAAATCACAAGAGACACATATGTACACAAAAGTACATGCCAAGGCCATATATGTACACACATGATAACCCTTCCCTGGACATTCAAAGCTGTCACTTTGAACAGGTGGCTGATGATGCACACACACACACACACACACACACACTAATATATGTAACTTCAGAGGAGTCTGCACATGTATGCAAGTAAACAAAAATACACATGCTATACAACTGCATAGTGCATACACACACACACACATACCCCCAACATATGTTTGTATTTAACGTATCACTCAAAAGCCTGCACATACCTAAGCTCACACCAGCATGTCCCACATACAGTCACACCCCACTCCCCAGCACATATGTGCAGACCCTCACCTGCACTCAGATGGTGCACATGTGTAATTATCCCACCACACATGTACACACACACACTCATGTACACTCACTTGCCTGCCCTGGTAATGTGAGGAAATACACATTCAAGCACACACAATGCAATTCTTATGTGCATATCCTGAACTTACATACGGGAGACTACCCTGTACAGACCTTGCCTCTGCCCCCTCTCATTTCTTTATGTAGAGCCCCATTGCCCCTCCCAACCTTAATTCACTTTCTAAGTCTTGGCAGAGTCCTGAGGCTGCTAATAGCAAGTGCCACTTAACTCCTTTGTGAATTTATTCATATATTTACTCAGCAAGCATTGAGTGCCCACTATATGCCAGGGACTGATCCTGGCTTTTGGAACCCAATCTTACTCCTGGCCTCATGCTGGTGGAGTCAGATTGGGAGAGATGGGAGCTAAGGAGAAGGGTTTCCATGGCCCTTTTCCCCTGGCAAGCCTACCCCGTTCCTATCATTGCCATTTGCCTGTGTCTCAGAAGATGAGGGGAAACTGAGCAGAAGAGAGATCTTGCTCTAGGTGGAGGGCATATGCAAAAACATGATGGTAGTGCTTTGGTTCCAGACCTCCCTATATGCCTCGTGGCATTTTGCTAGGCCACTCAATGTTTAAAAGGCTTCATAAGTATTTGATGACTGAATATTGCATATAAATTAGCAATGCATTTGAAGGTGAGTTTGCCTCACAACTAATAATGATATCTACAGGAAGTTCCATCTATCCAGCATTCCACAGGCATAGTTTTGAGGACTTTTATGCCCATTGCCCACTTTAATCCTCAGAGAAACCCATTTTACAGATGAGGAAAACTGAGGCTCATGCAAGTTCAACAACTTGCCTGGTGCCACAGAGTCAGAGGTGTAGCTGCCTGACTCCACAGTCTACTAGGAGTGAAGGGTGAAGGTTGAGGCTACCCTCAGCCTTCAGGACCTGGAGACACCTAAGTCCTTGTCATGGGGTGAGAATCTGTCTCAGGTTCATCCTTTTCCTTTGTCCACTCAGTAAACAGACACATCATGATTTCCCCATTCATCATGACTGTTCCCCTGCCTCTCTCCCTGGAAGCCTTCACAAATCCCTCTGCCTCTTGCTGCCCTGTTTCTGATACCATCCAGCCAGGGGGTGGGGGAGCTGCATCTGGGTCTTTGTTTTTACCACCGTTTTAGGATGCCTCTGGTTTTGGCTCTGATTCATCTTCAGGGCTGCAATCTTAGCTATCTGCCTATTTTGCACCTCACTTTCCTTCTGCATACAATGGGTTTCCTCTGTGAATTTATTTTATTTTTAGATTTATTAAATTATCTGTGAGGTACTGACCAGGACATCCTGAGTCCAGAAGGCCTGGGTTTGAATCCCCAAATCCATCACTTCCTGGAAAGTCCCATATCTTTTTCATTCCTCAGTGTGTCTATCTGTAAAATAGGCACACTAATAGTGTCCACTGCCTAGATTTACTGGAACTCCCCAGTCAGATGAGGCATGCAGAGATACTGGCATGATGCATGACTTGTGGAAAGTTTCAATAAGTGTGAGCCAAAGGCAGGAAAAATCAATGATGGTGTTTTTATTAATGGGGACTAAAAGCTTCGTGAGTGTAGGACATTTCCTGAGAGCTCACTGCGTTCTCAGGCCTGAGGATGGCTCAGTGATACACAGTGGGGCAAAAGAAGTACCAATTCTTAGGAGGTACTTGGGTAGGGATGAAAAGTTCAGCACCACGGATAGTTCAGAGAGGAGCCATCTATTTCAGCACCGTGGACAGCACAGCTCTGCGTCGCGGGACCCTCAGCGCTGGACTGCTGGGGGAGGCAATGACGTCATTCTTTCAATGAACAGTATTTAATAAGCACCTACTATATGCCAGAGATAGTTCTAAGTGGTACTTGGTAAACAACACTGACTATCTCTCAAGGTTCTTGGTGTGTTTTTTTCACCTATGGCTTCAATTGGGTTCCTGGCTTATTTCTGTCCATGGATGATGAGAGTCCTCCTTTATTCTCTCCCAGATGCCAAGTCAGAGGGACCAATGTCCTCATCACAAAGCCCATGTCTGCTACAGACATCACATATTAAATACCAGACTTCCTAGAATCTAGTTTTGAATTCTCTATGCTTCCCTTCTACTATTTGTAGTGTCTTCTGACACCCAATAAGCACTCCCTGTGGGTGCACTTTTGGAAAGTGAAAGTCGCTCAGTCGTGTCTGACTCTTTGCGACCCCATGGACTCTACAGTCCATGGATTTCTCCTGGCCAGAATACTGGAGTGGGTAGCCTTTCCCTTCCCCAGGGGATCTCCCCAACCTAGGGATCAAACCAGGGTCTCCTGCATTGCAGGTGGATTCTTTACCAACTATTATCAGGGAAGAACCTCCTGTGGGTGGGCTTTTAGCCGCTTCCATTGATGGCTGGAACTCTCTATTCCTCCACTCCCACCACCAGGCCTGGCAGGTTAATGGACCCCAAGGACTGGAGACTATCTCAATTAGAATCTAGAGTCATTCAGGCCAGGGGGTACACTTAAAATTCAACCAAATAATAAAGATACTAGTGACGGTAATAATAATAGGAACAATAGTATAATAATGCTAGTGCTGATAATGAAAAAGAAAAGGAAGAAGGCAGAAGAGGAAGGAAGAAGGGAAGAGGAGGAGAAGAAACAGATTAAGTAGGGCCATTTTCCAGATGCAGAAACTGAGGCCCGGAGCCTGGCAGTGCCAATGCCCTGCTCCCACCTCCACCGGCTCTGCCCCCCCCCGCCCCCCGCAACCACTGCCTGTGCAACCACATTAATCAGTCAGCGCCGATGAGCGCCGGGGGGTGGGGCGGGCAGGGACCGAGGAGTCCGCAGGCTGCTGACCTGCCGTGACGCGGTATCTCCAGCCCGCCCGTCAGTGGGCACCTCCCCCACTCAGCACTCCCCGCGGGCGCGTAGCTCACGCCCTCGGCGCCCACGTTATAAATAGCCCGGTGCTTGTGACCAGGAGCTCGGGAAGGAGGGGCGGCGCTTCCGCCCTGGTGACCCCGATACCGCGGGCAGGAGGAAGGCGGCGGGGCGGAGACGTGATGACAGTGACTCGGTTCGCTTGCTGACGGGGAAGAGAGATGGGGAGAGAGCCGTGACTCTCTCCGAGCCTCTGCCTCCAAGCCTTCTCCTACAGAGCCCCTCCCCCAGGCTACCCGCCCCTCCATCCCCCACCCCCGTCGTGAGCCTCCCCAGCTCTCTGAGCCCCCATCCCTTAGTCCCCTACCTTCCTCCTCCTTACCACATACCCTATTCCCCCACCATGAGCTTCCTACTCTGAACCCCCGTCTCCGATTCTCCATTCTCCTCTGAACTCCATCTCCCATCCTGAGTCTGACCCTCCTCCTTCTGAGTCCCCATGATGAACAAACAGTGGTGTCCTCACCCTGGATGTTCTGAGGGGACCTGGGGGCTTGCTGTTAGCGCTAGGGCTCTCTGACAATCTCCGTCTGCCAGTGGGCCCCAACTGAGCCCTGTGCCCTCTGGCCTAGAGAGGATTGGGGAGGAGGGAAGGGAGAGAGACTGAGGACTAGGAACCAGAGAGACAGAGACAGAGGGAGAAAGGGAAGAAGACAGACAGAAAGATGACAGGAGTGGAGAGACACAGAACTGGAAGGAGGGAGACAGGGAGAGACCTTCCTGGAGGAGAGGATGAAGGACAGACCTTGGACAACTTGCTTCCCTTCTTAGACCTGCCCCTCATCTGTAAAATAAAGAGGCACAGAACTGCAGACTGGGGCCCAGGTTGGGTCAGACACCAGTGAGCCCCTCTGATCCCCCAGGGCCAGGCACCTACCTCCCTCTGGTACCTGCCCCCAACTTTTCTTTCCTAATCCTGCCTCTCCACTGCAGCATCTCCCCTGCCTGCCCTCCCTAGTGGAAATCTGTGTGTCCCTTTCTGTCTCTCTGTGTCTCTGTCTGACTCTCTTGTCGTCTTATCGCCCCTCACTTCTCCCCCTCCCCTTTCCCTTTCTCTCCTGTTGATGCCTCCGCGTGTGCCTTTCTGAGCCTGTCTGTCTCTCCCATCCTTCTCCCTCCCCATCCTCCCCATGCACCCTCCTCCCCCTTTACAGAGTCGTTAGGTTTGCCCGCTGAAGCTCCCCCAGGAGGGAGGCCTGGAGCTCCTGCAGGGCACAGTCCTAAGTGCCCCTAAGCCTCACTCAGTCCCGGGGTGGCGGGCTAGGTGGGGTGACTCTCTGTAGTCTGGGTGGGGCCGAGGGTGTGAGAGGGGGCATGTGGGACAGGGGGAGGGGCCTTGTGGGAGAGAGAACTTTGTGTGTGCAGTTATGTGCCTCAAGTGGGAAGATTTTGGATGTGGAAGAAAGAGACAGAGATGGAAGCCCAGAGAGGGGGGTTCATTTGCTCAGAGCCACACAGCACCATAGTCTGAATACAGCTCCACCTGACTCCACGCTGGGTCTTAGGGTGATGGTGGTGTTGGTATAGGAAGGCACTCATTCCCTCTTCTGCTCTTCAACTCTGGGGAGCTCGGTCAGTGCTTCTGGGCATCAGTTCTCACCCCCACAGTCTGTCTGCGATGGGAATAAGTAGTATTTACTGACTCATGTTTAGAGCCACTCTTCTTCCCCAGCCCTTGATGGGAATTCTCTTTTCACTGGCTCCATTCAGGGACTTCTTTGAGAAAGAAATTCAAGTGATGAGGACAGAGAAATGAAATCCCTGTGGGAGATTGAATCCCAGATGGGAGGCCATTGTACTTGCAGGGAAAAAGGTTGAACTTGACTCTCAAAAAAAAAGGAGAAAGAATAGAAATGCAATTCTGATTCTAGGAATTTATCCTTTAACTGACTTGCACACACTCTTCAAGACATGCAGAGGGTATAAAATGCTACCATTTGTGTAGGAAATAGCGCACACGTGCACACAATTGCTGATGCATGGACTATCTGTCTCCAGTCCCACGAGGAACTGCTAATGTTGGTTGCATCCTGGAAGGAGAGTGAGAGCTGGGGTAGAAAGAGCTTCATTTTCATCGTATAATCTTTGGGTTGCTTTGGATTTTTTTAAAATATGCATGATTGCTTACTCAAACAAAAATAGTCTCTAGAAAAGTTTAAAGGGAAAAGGAAATATAGAAACCAGGAGCGAGGCCTCAGTTTGGCAGCAGCATTTGGGTGGGAGTAGAGAGTAATGGTAGAGAAATACATTGAGGGCAGATGCAGAATTTGGGAGATATTGAAAGTGAAAGTTTAATATCCTGTAAGAAAGTCCAGTAATGAATGAAATTGCTTTGAATCACTTGGGGCTGTGGGGTAATGCGAAATATGAAGAGACTGGACCCCCTGGGACCCTGAGGTATATCTGGCTTGCACCTTTCACAGTCAAGTAGGGCTGGCCAAATTAATAACCTACCTGGCCAGGACTGGGATGTCTCTATATATACTGCAAATTCAGCTCTCTGGGTTGATTTTTCTCACCTCTTCCAATCCCTTTTGAATATTGGACTCTTAAACTCTGGGAGCATTTGGCAGGACAGACTGAGCTGGACAGTTAGGGGAGAAGTCTCACTAATCTAACTGGGGGACGGGAGTCACTGGAGATTGATTCTTCTTCCTCCTCTGTCTCCTTCTCCCCGACTCCCTGGCTCCTTCTGAAGCAATCCTGGAGGGCTTCCTGTAGGAGCTCTCTTCTTTTTAATCTTTGTTCAATTGTGAGTAAAGTCATCACCGGAGGGAGGGAGCTTTGGAGAAGTTTGATGGGGAGGAGGGTGGGACAGAGAATATTCCCAAGGGCCAAACTTCCTTCCATCACAGGTCTGCCTGTGCTCATCTGTCTGATGGCTTCTCTCTCTCCCACTCATCCCTGCCTCCCTCCTCTCCTTATTTCTCTTCCTCTCGTTGTCTCTGCCTCTGTCTCTGATTTCACCTCTGTCTTCATTATTATCTTTTTTTAAAATCCGGTTTCTTTATCTGCTTCTTTTGCTCCGTGTTTTTTGCCTCTCTCTTCTCTCTCTCTTTCTGTATCTCTCTCCTCTCTATCGCTCTCATTATGTCTCTCTTTTCCTGTGTCTCTCTGTCTCTCTCCTCCCCACCACTCTCCCCGTCTCCCTTCCCTATTTCTGTCTCTCTCCACAGTCAAAAAAGCGAAGTTTGATGGTGCCCAAGGTAAGTGCCCTCTATTCCTGTCCTGTCCTGTATTGTCTGTCCGTCTCTTAGAAAGGTGAGGGAGGGTGTCTGAGCCAGTGATGGGGAACTTGGGCTGTATGTCTGTGAGCTTCGCAGAGAGCATCGGAATTGGTCTGGGGTCCCCCAGCCGCCTTCCCTACCATCCCCTGAAAACCCTAATGGGAATAGGGCTCACCCTGAGCCAGTGGTACGTCCCAGGACCCTAAGAGATAGGGCAGGGACTCTTAGATCAGGCTACAGGGAACAAAACTGGGGCTGAGAGGCAAAGGAAATTTCTGTGTCCGTGGATGTTGGACGCTGTCGTTTCTAAGCGTAAAGATCAGGCATCCCCAAATCCCCCATCTCCCCGCACCAAGGCCCCTCCCTGCTGTGCCCTGAGGTGCCGGGGTGGGGTCCTGGGGGCCGACCTGGGGGTGGGAGGCACAGAAGCACCCCAGTGTATGGGACCTGGGGTGGCCCCAAGAACTCGCAGACCCTTGGGGGTCATGGTGGGGGGTCATTGAGAGCTTGGGAAGGGACATGGGGGAGGCCCTGAGCCCCTGCACTAACAGCTGCTTTCACCGCCACAGAGAAATTCAACACCTACGTGACCCTGAAGGTGCAGAATGTCAAAAGCACGACCATCGCGGTCCGAGGCAGCCAGCCCAGCTGGGAGCAGGATTTCATGTTGTGAGTCTGCAGTGACAGGAACCTGCATGGCCTCACCCCCTGGCACAGTCAGGCCTGTTGCTGGTCCCTCAGGGCACAGCTGGACACTCGGGTGTCGTCTGGGACTCCCCTCCTTCAGCCCCTTGTCCAGTCATCAGCTTTGCCTCCGAAGCACTTCTCAAATCCAGTCACTTCCTTTTGTCTCTGAGGCCACCAGCTAAGTTCCCACTGCCCGCCAGCCTCCACCCTGGCCTCCTGCTGCCATCCGCCTCCTGCAATCTGTTCTCCTCCAGGCAGCCAGGGGGATATTTTTAAAATTGCAAATCACATCCTGTCACTCTCCAAACTTGCCCCTGGATTGTGGATCATCATCCTCAAAACAAAGCCCTTATCCCTCCCTGCAGCCCCCGAGACCCGGTTCCTGTGACCTCACACCGGTACCTTGCTCCCTTTCTCCTGGCTCACCTGCCCCAGACACGCCCACCTCTGCACCTTCTGCCAACTTGTCCAGCTTGTTCCTGCCCGCAGGACCTTTGCTCCTGTCCTCTCCCCATCCCAGCTGCCTCCTTCCTGTCCTTTGGGTCTCAGCTGTGTCACCTCCTCAGGGCAGTCCTCTCGGATCACCACCCTCAAACTGTAATTGAAGAGTAATGTCATGCCTCGCCATCAATTGTTATTTTATTCATTTGTGTGACATTTGACACATTTCCGGCCGCTTCCCCTGGACTATGAGCTCCAAGAGGGTAAGGCCTTATTGGTCTCTGCCCCTGTGACCTCCATGCCAAACACAGAGGCTGACACACAATAGGTGCTCAATAAATGCTGGTCTAATAACTGAATGAACTCATGACCTGCACCCTCTTCTCAACCTGGAGCCGCTTAAGACCCCCTATTAAGTGAAGTGAAGTCACTCAGTCGTGTCCGACTCTTTGCAACCTGATGGACTGTGGCCTACCACGCTCCTCCCTCCATGGGATTTTCCAGGCAAGAAAACTGGAGTGGGTTGCCATTTACTTCTCCAGAGCATCTTCCCGACCCAGGGATCGAACCCAGGTCTGCCGCATTGTAGGCAGACGCTTTACCGTCTGGGCCATCAGGGAAGTCTCTAGGAAGACCTCCTATTACATCCTACCTACTCTGATGATGGCCAACATCTGCCGTGACCTCTTCCAAGGCTTTGATTAAATCAGTTTTGCCTTATAGCCCTGGGAGAGAGTGTGCTAACACAATCCTCATCCTACAGATGAGGAAACAGATGCCGGAAAAGCAAAACCACCTGCTCAGTGTCATATGGCCTCTATCTGGCAGAGCTGGAATGGGGACCCAGGCAGCCCTCAATCCCTGAGCAGAGGCTAGCTGGAGACTGTGGGAGACCATGGGAGAATCGAGTTGGGATTCTGGAGCAAGAGGGCACTTAGAGAAGGGAAGGAAGGCGATAGTCCTACAATCTAGGGAAAAGGTGAAGGAAGCAGAAAGCAATAGTCCTCAACTTCCCCTAAAACCAGTAACTGAATGACCAGGTATATTCAAGGAGAACATTCCTTAAGATGAATCTTTGGTAAATTGGTAGATTCAGTGAATTGGACATTCATGAAGATTCCCCCCCCCCACCCCAGATCTGCACATTTCCTGCAGGGAACATGCTTAGAGGTGGGATCATTCATATGCTTAAGGGTGTCCCCATATGACTGGAGAAGGATGACACTGGGAAGGATGGAATAACCATGAATTGCCCTTATCATGGGAGTAATAGGGAGCCATGGAGGGCGTTGGAGCCTCTTCCTCACTTAACCAGCATTCTCAGGGTCTGAGGGCTAGAGGAAGGGCCAGGTGAATTGAAGGTACATGTAATACTTATCCCCACTCCTTCTTTCCCAACCTGGGATCCTGATTCTGCTGTGACACTCTGAGCACATAACTTAGCCACCTGGCCTTGGTCTCCCCTCTGTAAAACAAGAACTACTGTGTCACGTTCCTGGCTGGCACGCATTCAGACCTGGGTTTGCATTCCAGCTGGTCATGTGTCCAAACGCTACTGAACTGACTTTCTGTCCTCTCAACAGTGAGATTAACCGCCTGGATCTGGGGCTGACGGTGGAGGTATGGAACAAGGGTCTCATCTGGGACACGATGGTGGGCACTGTGTGGATCCCCCTGAGGACAATCCGCCAGTCCAATGAAGTGAGTGGTAGGGTGAAGGTTGGATAGGCATGCCTGGGAGGGGCCCAGAGGCCAGCGGTCTCAACGAGATAGGCCTCTGTCTCCATCTCCTGACAGTGTTCATGTAGGCGTTCAGGGTGGCTATGGCAGCTCCGGTCACCAGGCTGTAAAGTCCTTCCGTCTTGTCAGCCTGCTTTTCTCCCCATGTGGCTTCCATCTCATGGCCCAAGACGGCTGCTCACATACTACCATTACATCTGCATTCCAGTCAGGGGGAGGGAAAGGTAACGAGGGAGGAGGTTTGCAGTCCTGATTAAGGACCCAAACTGGAAACTGCTCAAGGCACTTCACTCACATGTTATTGGCCAGAACTGCCATGTGGCCCCACCTACCTACAAGGGAATCTGGAAAATATAGTCTTTAGCAGCACAGCCCCACTAGAAATGTATCCCTATGGAAGAGAGGAGAAGGGATGTTGTGAGAAACTAGCACCTTGCACCCAGATGGGCATCAGGCAGGGAGGTGGCATCAGTACCAAAGAAGTACTAGAAAATAACCTTGCCTCCTTCCCCAGCCTCCTGGCCTTAAATCTCCCCCCTCCACTTGGCCCCTAGAATCCTACCCTGCCCTCTCTGCCTATCACCCTGGGAGGCCTCCCAGATAGCATCCACCAACTTTGCCAGCCTTATTTCCCCCACACCGCAACCTACACTCCTCACAGGCCCCACAGATGGCTTTTGAGCTTTCACATACGCTGTTCTCTGGGTTTCAGGGGTCCTCCTTTCCCTCACCCTTAAGCCCAGCTCCATTGTCCTCTCCTCCAGGAAGCCCCCCCTGAATCCCTCAGCTCCCCTCCCCCCGTCTGGCCTTCCCTTGACTTCGTGGTGCTGGGAGTGTCTGTGTCAGACTCTGTGACTGTGGGCTTCTCAGGGGTTGCCCAATATGGCTCAGGCTTAGAGCAGGCCCCAAGGAGGGTTTATTTTTTAATGAGTGAATGGAAAGGGAAGAAAGAGGTGCAGTAGTCCAGATAAGTGATTCCAAAAGGAAGCCTTATGGCTGAACCACAATGTCCTCAGTGACCCCTCTCCCCAAGTGTGAGGAAGGCCTGGTCACCTGGGACAACCACGACCTATGGCTGGGGACCCCGGACTGCTCCCCTGACTCCTGCCAGCCTCTCCCTGGGGCTACAGTGCATCAGTCTCCTTTGAGAGATGAAGAAAACAGGTTCAGAGTGGACCCCACTGCTCAAGAGCTCATTTCCCTGAACCAAGGGGGACTGGTTCATTCACTTGGGGGATTCCCTCCCAGGACAGTGGTAAGATCAGGTCTTCTATCTGAAGCTGAGCCCTCAGGAGGGATGAGGGGCACTGTGCAAGGCTGGGACCGCCCCTACCTGACTCTGCAGGTCCCTCTCTCTGGGTTCCCCAGACCCACCATGTTGCATTGAATTTGTGACCTTTCTTCTCGGTTTCCTTATCTGAAGTGAGGATGTGGCCCTTGTTCTTGGCGTAGGGGTGAGATGCAGGGAGAGAGACATGTCCTGTGAGATCAGAGGCCTGCTGGCCCAAGCACAGATGTGTGACTCACCTGGCCTCACGCAGGGCCCCACCCCCTGTCACCCCACCACCCGCAGGAGGGCCCTGGAGAGTGGCTGACCCTGGACTCGCAGGTCATCATGGCGGACAGTGAGATCTGCGGCACCAAGGATCCCACCTTCCACCGCATCCTCCTTGACACCCGCTTTGAGCTGCCCTTAGGTGAGTGCGGTTGGGGAGGGGTGGGGAGGAACCCTTGCCCAGCTCCAGGAGAATGACCGGGCCTGGGTGGATCCAGATAACCCTTCATGTCTATAGCCATACCACCCTGAATGCGCCCGATCTCATCAGATGACCCTTCATTCTGAGGATGAGGCTCCCCTCCCCAGAAGAGTCTCCCAGATCAGAGTCAGCAGAGATGTGTGTCTCCTGGGCACAGAGCACATTCCAGCTCCTGCAGGTCACCAATGGGCTGCCAGTGCTGTTCAACCTACGGGGCTCAGATCGGAGCTGTCCTGGCTGACCCTTGGTGAGGTTTTAGGCTGCAGAAGTGAGCTGCATATGGAGAAGATACAGACAGTGGCAGAAAGACAAGGAGAGACGGAGAGTCAGAGAGAGAGAGAGAGAGATGGAGAGAGAAGCTAAGGCAGAGACACAGAGAAGCCTCTCTACCTTTCCTGGAAGCAGCTCAGTTCTCCCATGTTGTCCTTCCAAGAACCCATGGCATCCCCATGCTGGAAATGCTAGGATGCGCCTCTTCTCCCATCTTCCATTCATTCTCAAGGCAGCTCTGGGTGGCATGGTGGAGGAGGTGTTTCTGTTCTCCTGTTCTCTCTCCCCACTCACTGGAGACCAGCCCCATAGGCGGGCAGGATGCACTGGATGGAGGTTGAGGGGCAGGGAGGGGCTCCCAGGCTCACAGCCAGGCTTCTGCCTCCAGATATCCCCGAAGAGGAGGCCCGTTACTGGGCCAAGAAGCTGGAGCAGCTGAATGCCATGCGGGACCAGGATGAGGTGAGCGTTAGCATCACCTTCCTCTCTTTCCTTCCTCTCTCTGTCTCCTTGTCTCCCCATGTCCTCCACCCTCTATTTCTCTCTCCACTTGTCTTCCCCTGTGTCTGTATCTCTAACTCTTTGTAACCTGACTCAATTCTGTGACTCACGTGGTCCAGTCTCAAACCATTGATGGCGTCAAGGAACAGACAGCCCACCAAGGACGTGATGATAGCAATGGACTCAGGTTCTGTATTTACTAAATACTCTCAAGGAGATGCAGAGGCCCCGTTACAGTTCTTAAACCCCCTTTCTGCCCCTCACTCCCCAACTCCTCAAGTCACACTTTCAGGTTTTCTTAAAAAATTGCCTTCCCCACCAGCCCTTGCCCTGTACCTGTTCTTCCCTGCCATTCCCCTTCTTCTGGGCTCTGTATTCTCACAGTTCAAAAACCCAGTGTGGCCCAAAAGACAGTCTTCAGAAGGCAAGGGCAGGGAAGAAAGAGCAGGCAAGTTTAGAATATCCTAGTGGGAGGCAGGGGGCAAGGGGGTATCACTCACTTGTTAGTAATTTTTGTCCAAACTCAGCTCTCACCTTCTTCTTTCTTTAGCTCCCTGCCCCAGTGTTCTCCCGTCTCTCTCTCTCCCCTCTGGTTTTCCCCTCGTCTGTGCTGTTTTTTCTGTTTTCCTATATCTGTTTCTCACTGTCTTTCTGTGTGTCTCCCTCTCCCTCTTCCTCTGTGGTCAGCTGTATCCTCCTCCAGAGGGAGGGAACTTAGAGGGCAGAGAACAGAGGGCCATGGCTTCTGGCAGCCCACTGAGATAAGCCCTCTCTCCTTCCCTCCCCCTCAGTATGCATTCCAGGATGAACAAGACAAGCCTCTTCCCGTTCCCAGCAATCAGTGTTGTAAGTACTTCTCAGTTCCTTCCTGGGCACCAGCTGAAACTCTCATCCTTCCTCCACCCCTTGACTGTCCTCTGTAATGAATGGGTCACTCCCCTCCACTGATATGGGTCCTAAGAGTGAACAGAATCCAGTCACAGTGTAGTGGAAAAAGGAAAAGATCTGGTGCTTGGGTTTGAATCTTGCCTTGCCACGTGGCCACAGGCATGCCAGGGTCTTTGTCTGATCCTGAGTTCCTCTCTTTGAAACAGGGGCATCTCATAGCCCCCCGCATTCTGACCTTTCATTTTTGGAAGAACGCAGGACATCTAGAGGGTTGAGAAGCACTTGGCAGAGTCTTCAGTTCCATTCCTTAGGTCCTGGATGAGGACCTATAACTCATTCAACAAACTTTCATGAGACCAGCACAGACCCCCAAGCAGCCCACAGTCAGATGGTGCAGACAGACAGTCCTTCCAACACATGTATAATAGGCTCCTATTTTCTTAGATAAAGAAATGGAGGTCCAAGAGGAGGGGTGACTTGCCAAGGTCACACATGTGGCAGGAGGCAGAGCCAGGGTTTGAATCCAGGCCCAAGGGACTCCGAGTTGTCTTCTCCTTCCACTGTGCTGTATCTCTTAATGATGATGATGGTCACTGTATTCCTCTATATACTGCTCCTTCATCAAAGGCTAGACTTTTCAAGAGTGTTTATCCTCGTTGGTTGGCCCTCTAGACACTCGGATGCCCCAAGACCAGGTCTTCAAAGATCTAGGAGATGTTTTTCTCCTTAAAATGCCCTCCAAGTCCTCTGAGATGGGGAAGTGAAAATTATAGTCTCCGGGCAAAACACATACCCATGACACTTTGCCCCCACCCCATCCTTCAACCTCTTTCTCCTTTTCCATCTGCTTCCCCATCCTCCTCTCCTCCCCTTTCATGGTCTCTCCTGTATCCGTCGTCCACCCTCACCCCACCCCGACCCGCCATATGCCCAGGATATGTGATGATGGAGATTGGTGGAGGGAGGAGCTGGGTGACTGCAATTGAAGGACCCCATTCCTACACTCACTTGGGGTGTGAGATGGAGAAAGTCCCTTGATTTCCACACCTGCGAAGGGATCACCACTGCTCTGAAGAAATTATAAACCTCCTCTCTGGTGAATGGGGTCATTGATGGATTGTGGTGGGAGCAGGGCCAGGCAAGGTGGGGGCAGGAGCAGATGACAAAGAGCACCTGGGCAGGTGACCTGAAGCCAGAGGTGGGTTCAATTTAAGAATGGAGACCTACTTCCCAGCATTTACCTCCAAGTTCTCTTGGGACTGTTTTATCACCCTTATTTCACAAAGGAGGCAGCCGAGTGTCAGAGGAGTCAGAATTCTGGTCCAAGCTGTTTTTCTGAGATGCCAGAAGATGGGGGTGAGGTAATGAAGGTGAAGTTCTCTCCCTGGTTCTGACACTCAGGCTGTGTGACTTTAGGCTGTTCACTCTACCTTTCTGAGCCTTGTTTCTTCACTTATAAAATAAGAATAGTTAAAATAAAAACTCACACAACAGGGATGTTTCAAAGCTGAAGATTTCCAGTTCAGTGTTTCCTTCATTATCTGGAGGATGGGGAGGTGGGGGGAGACAAATGAGGCGTGCTGACCCCAGACTTCAGAGTTGGAAAACCCTGGGTCCAAATGGCCTCTTTATCACTTCCTGGCTGAGCTTGTGGTCTTGTCAATGAGGATATCTTGCCTTCCTCCCAAGATGGTGAGTGAAGGTATAACAAAAGTCAGAGGTTAAAGTGATACTCAGGAAAGATCCTCAGGGCAAAAGGGCATGGGGTCCTGGGTGGGAGGAGGAGATGGGGAGAATGAGGAGGATGGGGGAGCCCCCCTCCCCATGCCTCCCCCTCTGTCTGCTCCCTTTTATTATCTCTGCCCCTTCTCTTTGTAGGCAACTGGAATTATTTTGGCTGGGGTGAGCAGCAGAGTAAGTACTCAGCTTGATGTTCTGGGAGGCCACGGGGAGGTAGGCGCCTCGGAGACCATGAGGCCCCCGCCCCTTTGATCAGGGAAGCGGGGAGCCTGTGGCTGATGCATTGAGGCCAGAGGACCGGCAAGACCACTCTTGTGCCCTCCTGCCCCCCCATCACTAACATCTGTTTGAGGGTCATGATCTATCTCATGGGGAGTGGGTCCCGTCACTCGGGTGGGGGGATTCAGCTGGGAGGAGTGGGCATTTAGACAGGAGACCTGCCTGTCTTCAGCTGGGCACTGTTATCCCCCCACCACCTCGCTCCCCATGTATAACCTCATCTCCTCTCCTGTGACTCCTTCCTCTTTTTGTCTCCCCATCGTCCTCCTCCACCTGGAGCCCTCCTCCAGCCCCAATGTCACTCAGAGGCTGGTGGGTGGGGAGGGGAGAGGGTCTCAGACAGGGCAGCTGGGCAGAGAAGCCCCCAGGCAGATATCACTCTGGAGAGCTCAGCTCCCAAAGCCCCCCTGCCCCCAACACACACAGCTTCCTCCAAGTTGCCCCCAGGGGAAGGAAACAGGCCACCTCTCCCAGATTAGAGGACCATGTTCTCCCTAAGGAACGGCTCCCTTTTCCCCATGCCTTTTACCAAGAAATCCAATCCTCTAGTCTGAGCATGTATTTACCTCCTGATTTCTACTCCATCAACTGGAGGCTCCTCCACCCCATTCCCCACATCCTGATGGACAAGTTCCACCTCACCCTCCCTTCAGGATCAGGAAAGTGTAGTTGCTCAGTTGTGTCCGACTCTTTGCGACCCCATGGACCGTAACCTGCCAAGTTCCTCTGTCCATGGAATTCTCCAGGCAAGAACACTGGAGTAGGCTGCCATTCCCTTCTCCAGGGGATCTTCCTGACCCAGGAATCAGGAAAACTGTTTACAGATACATCTGACCCTTGAACAGCATGGCTTTGAGCTGCACAGTTCCACTTATATGTCGATTTTTTTCAGTAAATACGACTACAGTACTACACAATCCCAGTAGGTTGAATCCACAGATGCAGAAGTCTGACTATGGAGGGCCAATTATAAAATCACACATGGATTTTTGACTGCCCGGAGGGTTGGCATCCCTAGCCGTTGTATTGTTCAAAGGTCAGCTGTATTTTGACCCTAAAGAATTTGTCAAAGCAAGTTGATCAGAAGCCAGTTTAGCCAAAATAGACATTTGGCAGACAAGAAGACTTGGTCACAAGCAGTTTCACACAAATAAGCAATACAGTTGGAAAAAAAAAAAAAGACACCCTGGATTAAAACCAATTTAGCAAAAGCCTATAACAATAATTGGGTCAAGAAGAGCAAAGACAATGGGGCCCAAAGCAGAGCATTTTGTCAAAACAAAAGTGGCTGAAAATGTCTTATCCAGAAGCAGGCAATTTGGTTAAAAACAATTTGGTAAAGAGCAGAGTCTGGGCAAAAGCAGAAAGAATCCAACAGAGAGCAATCTTTCCCTTAAAACTGATAATCTTTCAGAAAAAAAATCAGTCTGGTGAACATGCACAGAGTCTCATGTGATTTGACTGGAAATATTTCAGCCTGGTCAAGGGCAATTTGGTAGACTGCAAACCCAGATAACTGCGTAGAAAACAGGTTGGTGAGAGGGGTAGTTTGGTAAGCCTGCCATGTTGTCCCCAGTTTTAGATGCCCCACTTCAGGCCTGAAGGCCCATCAGTTTTACCCTGAAGCTCATACATCTGTTGTGGAAATTCACATCTGTTTCTGCCTCTGACGCCAGCGCTGTCAGCTCACAGAGCATCAGGTGATGATGGTCGTCCGGCAGGGACAGGATGAAAAGCTCTCAGGTCACACTGGCCCAAGTCAAATGAGAAATCAGGAAGCCAGAGCTACTCAGGAAAGCCAGAGCTATGCTGCTAAAGCCAGCACTGCTGCTAAAAATGAATTTAAGGTTTTTCTGGAGGCAAATAGGGACTGAATCAGACAGCTAGTTCTAAGCAAAGGATGAAACTATTTTAACTCTTTACCATATTTTTAAAATTTGACATATTTTTTTAATATAAAGAGAGAGACTCTATTAATAGAGGGAAATGGAATTAGAAAGTTAAAATAATAAAGCACAAAAAAAAATCTAGGAGATGAGCAAAAATGCTTAAAGACATAAAAAAGTATAAGCCAGTGACTTCCCTGGTGGCCCAGAGGTTAAGACTCTGCACTTGCAATGCAGGGAGTACAGGTTCAGTCGGGGAGCTAAGATTGCAGGTTTAAAAAAACCAGAAGCAACATTGTATCAAATTCAATAAAGACTTGAAAAATGGTTAAAAAAAATCTTTAAATAAAAAGTATAACCCACCCTCTTGGTGTTTAAAATCACCAGTAAGGTGATCCCACAGCCTAGTACCCCATGGGAGACCCAATCTGCAAGTTAATTTGGGGCAGGCAGCTCACTTCTCTTCATCTCAACTATTGCTTTCCAGATAAATTGAGTCTCTCCTATTCCCACCACAATGTAACATCCTTTGAGACTGTTTTCTTTTTACTGAGAAAGAAAATCTGTTTTCTGTTTACTAAGGAAAACAAACAGAACTAAATTATCCTTTAATTCTTACTAAACACTTGGAGTTTGGCAACCCCACCCTGTTCCGTTTGAGTGATAGATTCTAGGCTTGTGATGGTGTTGCCAACCCAATAATCTAACCTTTCTGAGGGAGACAATACCTTGTCAGAGCCCCTTCCTATACATGTGAGTTCAGGTCTGGGTCACCTTCCTAGGATATCAAGAAATCTCTGAAGGTTAAAGGGTGTTTATACTCTACCTCGTCTTCCTGATCTCCCTCCAACTTCCCCCTAAGTGTTTGGGTGACTTTCATTATGGAAAACTCATTACCTGGTGGAAAAACCCATATTATTTTCAGAGAGCCTGGACTGGTCCATTCTCACATCTGATCTGAAAGACACCTTCCAGTCTGTTCCAGTCCTGTTCACATTGTAGGACCTACCCTGGTCCCCATTCTCTAGGTCCAGTTTGACCCACATACAGAAAAGCAGGGTTTTCACCTCCTTTATTCTAAAACCTATACTTCTATTAACATGACCCAAGATCCCTTATTCATTTTGGCAGATTCCTCTTCTTGGGTTAGCAGTCAGTGAAGACCCTCCTAAGTCTGAGACACTGTGTTGGCCTCCACTGCGTGCTTCCTCTCTCGCTCTGCCTCCCTTCCTCACTCTCTCCCCTCACCTCCTCTCTTCCAGATGATGACCCTGACAGTGCAGTGGACGATCGCGACAGTGACTACCGCAGTGAGACAAGTAACAGCATCCCGCCACCCTACTACACTACGTCCCAGCCCAATGCCTCAGTCCACCAATATTCCGTGCGCCCACCACCCCTGGGTTCCCGGGAATCCTACAGTGACTCCATGCACAGCTATGAGGAGTTCTCCGAGCCGCGGGCCCTCAGGTAGTCACCGTGGAGTGGAGGGGGTGTGTCTGTGTGTCTGTCTGTGTGTGTCCAACTCCATCTCCTGGAGTGGAGAGAGGAATAGGAGGCTGGAGGGAGCTAGAAGCAAGTGGGTCTAAGGAAGCAGCATCCATGCCTTTTTACAGGCAGTAGAAATTTTCTTTACCTAAAATCTTACCAAGAAAACTCTGCAGGCCTGATAAAAAGGGGTTTGCTTTAGTTGAAGGAGGAGAAGGAAGTCACAAAGCCCCTAAGAGTTTCCCGTGCAAAATGGGAGCTCCTTGGCACTCCAGTTAAAAGCCCCTGATCCCTGTTGTACTCTCTAACTGCTCAGGCGAGGAGGTGGATGAAGAGATGAGCATTACCAGGGGTGGGGAGGTGATGAGGCTGGTGTGAAACATAGTAATGCTGGAAAGACTCCCAGCAAGCGGGTGGCTCGTGGTCCTAGGGTGGTCCTGCTCGGCCTTCCTGGTGGCCCCTGACTCTGTGTTCCTGACCAGCAGGCACGGACACTGGTACTCAGGCATGGGCATGTGTCCAACTCTTTGAGACCTTATGGACCATAGCCTGCCAAGCTCCTCTGTCCATGGGATTCTCCAGGCAGGAAGACTGGAGTGGGTTGCCATGCCCTCCTCCAGGGGATCTTCCTGATCCAGGGACCAAACACGCGTCTCTTACAAGGCCTGCGCTGGCAGGCAGGCTCTTTACCACTGCCACCCGGGCGTGACTTAGGAGCTTCCCCTTCTCAGTCCAGCCACCGTCACTGCTCTTTCAAACTAGGCTGTCCCCAGACCCACCTCATAGGTTGGTCCCTGGCTTACATGGGTGCAGTGTGTTGGCCCTTGAGCCCATGAGACTGAAACTTGTGCCTGCTGCTCCCCTCTTTGCTGACCTGATCTCCCCAGTCCTGGTTTCTTAACTGAACAGCAGCAAACATGATATTAAACAGGTTGGGTATTTGTAAAGCACTTTGGGCGGTTCCTAAGAGTGCTGTGTAGTGATTGTTAGGTAAATAACACAAATAATAGTATTCGGAGCTAACTGGGTGCCCAGCTCTGGGCCAACATTTTTCCTTCATCATCTTATTTCATTCTCTGGTTGGGGATATTATTGGCTCCATTTCACAGATGGGAAATCAAGGCCCAGAGGGGTGAAGTCTCTTGCCTGAGGTCACACAGTTGGTAAATCATCATAAGGACAAATATTTGTGGTGAACCCACTGGGTGGCAAGCAGTGGCTTGGTGAATTACTGGTCATGGGTCTTCTCCTAAAATGTTTGCTCCCCAAAGAATACATTTCCTTCATTAAAAGATGGGCAGGATGAAAATGTTGAGTGTTCTCTCCTCTCTTGTTGAACCTATACTTCTATTAATGAATGTGCATGCTAAGTTGCCTCAGTTTGTGTCTGACTCTTTGAGACCTTATGGACCACAGCCCGCCAGGCTCCTCTGTCCATGGGATTCTCCAGACGAGAAGACTGGAGTGGGTTGCCATGCCCAGGATCTTCCTGACCCAGGGTTCAAACACATATCTCTTACAAGTCCTGCATTGGCAGGCGAGTTCCTTACCACTAGCACCACCTGGGAAGCCCAATTCTCTTAATAGGACCCCTCAAATCTCTGTAAGATATTAGACCAGGGACTTCCCTGGTGGTCCAGCATTTAGGACTCTGCACTTCTAATGCAGGCGTTGTGGGTTCTACCCCTGGTCAGCGAACTAAGATCCCAAATGTCTCATGGCATGTGGCCAAGAAAATTAAAAATAGAACATATAAATAAGTAAATAAATAAGATATTAGGCTCAGCTCACACATACACCAGGGCCTTCGATTTGTGTGAGACTCTGATATAGCAGAGTTGGAGCTAAACCCTGTAACATAGGTCCAGGACTAGGCTGGGGCAAGTGTGGTACACTTGAGGTTGCCTCAAGTACAAAATTTAGAGGATGCCAAAACACTCAGTCATCAAGATCAATATGTCAATGCAATATTTTAAAAAATCAAAATGAACACCAAAATAGCCCACGACCAAAAATTCACCAAAATATATCTTCGTAAGAGTGAATTTTGTTGTATGTAAGTTACATTTCAGTGAATTGTCTAAAAATCCATGCTGAGGAAAATACACAGTTTTAAGTAAAACAGGAGCTGAACCTGCACTTGCAGGGCTGGGCCACACCTGCCTCATCTTGATCTTGGTTCTGCCATGTCTATAAGCAAGAAAAATAATGCTGGTTAATTGAACACTTATTAAGTGCTAGGTTGTTTTTTTTTTTTTTTTTTAAATGAGACTTCCCTGGTGGTCCAGTGGTTAGGAATTCGCCTTGCAGTGCAGGAGATGCAGGTTCAATCCCTGGTTGGGGAACTGAGATCCCACATGCCTCAGGGTAGCTGTGGAAAATGAAGTAGAGAGATGAAGTGACTTTCTTAAGATCACACAGCTATTAAGTGACTGAGCCAGAATTTAAACCCTGTTAGGCAGACTTCTGAGTCCATGACCACAGACACAATGCCACACTGCCTATCAGCCCTAAAAAAGATACCTGGGAACCCACAACGTTAGCCTCCCAAGGTCCCACAGCTGGATGGAAGTGGTGTTCTTTCTACATCATCAGCAAGGACATCCACCAAGGAGATGGTCCGTTCTCTCTGCTCCCAGCAGAATCTTAGAACCACCTCTGTGTTGACCACATTCTGGCTGATTCATGTTGATGTTTGAAATAAAGCAACAAAATTCTGTAAAGCAATTATCCCTCAATTAAAGAATTTAGGGGCAAACCCTGAATTCAAACATTCAGGGCAAACCTGGTATTAAACACAGCCATGCAGCCTCCTGCACGGCAAGCCTTCTCCAACTCTTGATGAAAACATTAATGAGGCAAACAAGTGTTTACATCCTGGCCGAGATGTGGAGAAACCCTCAGAATCACTTTATTTTGAGTGCAGTAAGAAAAGAAATCATAAATGGCTTCTCTTTGTGCCGTCAAAGTAAATGAGCTTTCAGAGTTGTGCCATCCAACATGGCAGCCCCAAGTGGCTTTTTAAAGTTAAATTTTAAATGCTGTGCACTGTGCTTTGGCGCTCGGTCATGTCCGACTCTGCGACCCCATGGACTGTAGCCCGCCAGGTACCTCTGTCCATGGGGATTCTCCAGGCAAGAATACTGGAGTAGGTTGCCATGCCCTCCTCCAGGGAACCTTCCTGACCCAGGGATTGAACCCAGGTCTCCCGCATTGCGGGTGGATTCTTTCTTTACCATCTGAGCCACCAGGGAAGCCCAAATTTTAAATAACAAGTAAAAGAAAATTTCAGTCCCTCCATCATACTGGAAGCTTTTCAAGTGCTTGACAGCCATGAACGTGTGGCTGCTATGTTGGATAGTGTGCACAGAAAACATTTCTACTGGACAATACTCTAGAGAGTTTGGGTAAAACATAAGTTGAAGAAAACCTTGATAAGCTGCCTACTCAGTCTTTTTTTTTTTTCACTGTTACTGATTTTCTTATTTCTGGATTTGCTGGGTCTCCGTCGCTTTGCATAGGCTTTCTCTAGTTTGCAGCGAGCAGGGGCTTCTCCCTTGCAGTTGTGCTCTGGCTCCTCATTGCATTGGTTTCCCTTGTCACAGAGCACAGGCTGCAGGTGCCAGGGCTTCAGTGGTTGCGGTGTGTGGGCTCTGGAGCCTGCTCAGCAGATGTGGCGCAGGGGCTTAATTGCTCCACTCCATGTGGAATCTTCCCAGACCAGGGATCGAACCTGTGTCTCCCGCCTTAGCCACTGCACCACCAGGGAAATCCTCCCTACTCACTCTTTAGCATCATCCGGAACAATATTTTTTTTGCAGGTATTTAAACAAGTTTTATGTTAAACTTCCCTATGTTTTGCATATACCATAGAAAGTGCAGATCGTTTATAGATGACATGTGTTAGAAGGAACTTTTTCCAGAGCATTTTTGGATGCAACTAGAGATTATCATAAGAATTGAAGTAACTCAGAAAGAGAAAGACAAATATTTAATATATGATATCACTTATCTGTGAAATCTAAAACATGACACAAATGAACTTGTCTATGAAACAGAAAGAGAATTGCAGGCATAGAGAAGAAACTTGTGTTTGCCAAAGGGGAGGGGTTTGGGGGAGGGATGGGGTGGGAGTCTGGCTTAGCAGATGTAAGTCATTATATAGAGAATGAATAAATAACAAGGTCCTACTCTACAACACAGAGGACTATATTCAATATCTTCTGATAAACCATAATGAAAAAGAATATAAAAGGCATGTATATGGATAACGGAATCACTTTGCTGTACAGCAGAAATTAACGCAACTTCGTAAATCACCTGGACTTCAAAAAATAGAAAATAAGGTTGAGCATTTAGTTCAGCCTCTTTATTTTTTAGGTCCAAGGAAATGAAATGACATACTCAAGGTAAACCACTTAGCGATATAAGAGGGAGTAGAATTAGTCTTGCCCTGGATTTACTCTAGCATCCTTCATTTAACTCCTTTGTGTGTGAAAACAAAGAATTAGGTCCCTTTCTGTTTGTATTAGTGACTTCCTTATTCCAAATATCTTCAGAAGCATTCCTGTCTCCCTAACAGCCTCTCCTTCCATTTTTGCAACCGCTGCCATTTGTGAAGCATCATTCACTTGAGTATTCAAGCTGGCTCAGACTCATGCAATTATTGCAACAAAGTTTCAATGTATGGGAAACAGTTGGAAAGAGAGTAAGATATCAAATATAAAGAAAATATGAGCTCTTTCAGTAGGTGGGAACGTCTTCTCTTGGAGGAAAAAAGCAGAAGAGTGCCCATCTTACAGACAGGGAAACTGAGGCTCAAAGAGTAGGAGCGAGTTCCCTGGGTCTCAGAGCAGGGTGTGCATGGAGCTGGCCCTGGACCAGCCCCCATTCCGTGTGCATGGGCTTGTCTTGTCCGTCTCTGGCCCTGGGTGTCTGTATGTCCCAGGGAGAGTCTGGTGTGAGCATTCCTGGGATGGAATGGAGGCTGGGAATGGAAAAGGAGGAGCCCTGTCCACGCTCCCCATGAACTGGTCGCACAGCAGAGAGTGGGTGCACAGGCAGAAACAGCCTGACAGTGACTCAAGACACCATCCCACGCCACCCTGGTCCTGCTGCCCAGTGTGGACACTGAATGTCCCCAGAGGAACAGACATTCCATCCTGCAGGTCAGGGCTTGGCTTACATGAGGGACGCCCTGGTGGTGGGAAAGGGCAAGGTGGGCTTTCTGGAGGAAAGTGCCTGGGAGCTAGCTCTTGAAGGATAGATGAGGAGTCTGAGGAGAAGAATTCCAGGCAGAGAAAACAGCTCAGCTAAAGGTAGACTTGGCCAGATCACACAGGGAGGTTCTTGGTGGCTAACTCAATGGGATCCAGGAGAAGCGTCTGGGATCAGAGTTGTCTTGGCTCCCGAGCGTCAGAGCTGGGGTGGAGGAGTCTTGGGGACCATCGGTCCCACCTTCTTGCAGCCTGGGTGATTTACACGGTGCCTGGTGTCACAGGTAGGCATTTCCAGACCTGTGTGGAGATCCCAGTCCTAGGCGCACTCCTCACTTGGCGACCCGGAATGTGCTGGAGTGGGCTTTGGGAGTATTCACCAGCAGAGGGAGCTGGGAGTCTGTTCCAGCCCAATAATACCTGAGGATTCCCCCGTCCTTGCTGTCTACAAGGACAGGCAATGAAAAGCAGTCAAACACACACAGGGCTGAGCAGATAAGGGGGAGGGGGAGAAACCCCTCTTTGATTCCTACAGCATCCCAGGGGCTGGTTGAGAAAGAGGATCCTAGTCACTGAGAGGGAGGAAGTGTTTAAGACAAGGAACGCTGTTTATTAAGTGTCTGAATGAGCAGTTAGAAGGGGCTGAGAGGTGGCCTGTGTGTCTGCCCTCACGCAGATATTTTTCCTGGTTATGTTGAGTGTGATCCAGGATGCATATAAGGAGCATATAATGTGGATGAGGGTAGGTCTGACCTGACTAGAGGTTGAAGGAGACTCAGCTCACCCAAAGAAGTGCTATTTCAGTAGGCACCAAAGGAATTTTCCAGATAAAGCAGGCAAGGAAGGATGTTCCTGGGGGGGGGGGGGCACAGCAGGTGCTAGGGTCCAGTTGTTTAGTTGCGTTCTGCTCTTTTTGCGACCCCATGAACTGTAGCCCGCCAGGCTCTGTCCATGGGATTTCCCGGGCCAGAACACTGGAGTGGGTTGCCATTTCCTTCTGTAAGGGATCTTCCTGACCCAGGGATCGAATCTGTGTCTGTTGCATCTCCTGCATTGGCAGGGAGATTCTTTACCACTGGTCCAGAGGTGGGAGCAGTTTAGGGTGTTGGAGGGACAGTCAGGTCAGTGTGGCTGGAGCAGGGGGAGAGAAGGGAGGATGGAGGCAGCTGAGGGTAGGGAAGTTGGAGGGCCTGGGCCACACAAAAGTGCAGAGCATGGCATGGGGTTTTAGAGAATCTGCCTGCGATGCGGGAGGCCTGGGTTCGATCCCTGGGTCGGGCCAGGAGGAAGAAATGGTAACCCACTCCAGTATTCTTGCCTGGAGAATCCCATGGACCGAGGAGCCTGGTGGGCTACAGTCCATGGGGTCGCAAACAGCTGGACATGACTGAGTGGCTAACTTTACTTTTATGGTAGAGTTTGGAACAGAGGAGGTCTGTGATTGGGTTTATGATTCCGATAAACCCCTTTGTGGCTTTCAAAATATGAATGTCCAGGAGAGAAGTGGCCATTGAGTAAGACAGCATCTAATGGAGATGGCAGAGCCTGGACTAAAGTGGGGCCCAGGATGCAAGGAAGTGGACGCATTACACATATGTCTTTGGAGCTGAGGGGGCCAAGGATCAGCTGAGAGTGGAAGCTGGGGAAAGAGTGGAGGCAGGGAGTCCTGATGAATGGAGGGGGCTCAACAGGGGGAAGACCAGGCTGAGGTGGGGGTAGGGGAGACATCAGGAGACAGGGGCAACTATGTTTGTTGCAGGAGCGCTAGGTCTCCAAGGGGGCTGTGGCAGGGACACTCATTCGGGGTCTTCAGTATGTGGGTGAACGCTTCCCCCCAGCTTCCACAGTGCCTGGATAGGCGCACAGTAGGGCACTGATGTTGTCATCGGTCTGATTTTATTGCCTGACCCCCAAGATAGTCAGTGACCTCAGGACAGCTGTCTTGTCTCTTTGGTTCACGGCTGTGTTTCCCGGGTGCCCAGAGGTGCTCCCCCAATGCTGGGAATAAAGGGAATGGCCAACCCAGGGAATGACTGCGTGAGGGAGCCTGTGTGCCCAGGGCCGGGACGGGCAGCAGCTCTGTGCTCCAGCCCCTGAGCCCTGGCCCGACCCTGCAGCCCCACAGGCAGCAGCCGCTACGCCTCCTCAGGGGAGCTGAGCCAAGGCAGTTCGCAGCTGAGCGAGGACTTCGACCCGGATGAGCAGAGTCTGCAGGGCTCTGAGCTGGAGGACGAGCGGGACCGGGACTCCTACCACTCCTGCCACAGCTCGGTCAGCTACCACAAGGACTCGCCGCGCTGGGACCAGGATGAGGACGAGCTGGATGAGGAGCTGGATGAAGAGCTGGATGAGGACCTGGAGGACTTCTTGGAGGAGGAGGAGCTACCTGAAGACGAGGAGGAGCTGGAGGAGGAGGAGGAGGTGCCGGATGACATCCGAGGCTACGCCATGCGAGAGGAGGTGGCTGTGGCCGAGCCCAGGGACTTCAAGCGTGTCAGCCTTCCACCTGCCGCCTCCGAGAAGGAGGACAAGGCTCCAGCCATGCCCACTGAGGCCCCCGACGTACCCAAGGTGGCCCCCGAGCCAGCCGTGCCTGCGGAAGCGCCTGCATCTGAGCAGGAGCCTGAGGCCCCCAAGGCTGAGGAGAGGTAGAGGGAAGGGGTTGAGGGTATCACAAGGTCACAGGGTCAGTGGTGTCATGGTAGGGTCAGTGTAGACCTGGGGGATGGGGAGGAGGGCAGTCACAGAGTCATGGGTCTAGGACGCGATAGGAGGGTCTTGGTGGTCAGAAAGGGCTCAGTGGGGTCAGAGTGGGTCAACCAGGGTCATGAAGGAGTCTTGGGGGTTGTGAGGGGCTGGAGGGCTTTCCAGGGTTGGAGAGGTCACAAAGGCATCAGAAGAATCTTGGGCAGATAGGATTACAAAGTTGCAGAAGGTCCAGCAAGGTGGCAAGGGGACACAGGTGGGCCTGAAGGTGTCAGAGAGGAGATGGGCATGTGGGAAGTGGGGAGGGAAACTGAGGGTGGTCGGAGGGTCGTGGGTGGGTCACTGTATCTCTGAAGTGCCCGGGAGGCCATGGCGGGACCAGCATCAATCAGACATTGGGGGTGGAGGGGGTGCTGGCCCTGGAGCATCACGAACCCCCGGCCTTAGTTTCAGGCCCCGAGAAGGTGAGGAAGGCCAAGAGGGTCAGGACTCCGTGTCCAGAGCCAAGGCCAACTGGCTGCGAGCCTTCAACAAAGTGCGGCTGCAGCTGCAGGAGGTGAGTGACAGCGGCAGCCGGGCCACACCCACGCCTCGCCCACACCCGTGGCCAGGCTGGCCACGCCCCTGCCTCGCCCACAACCACGGCCAGGCTGGCCACGCCCATTTCCCCAGTCCTTCCAAGCCCCAACCTACTACTGTGGTCCTTTCCCTGGCTCTGCCCACACGAGCCCATGCCACCCACTTGCCCCTTCCTTAGCCCCACCCACGCCTGCCCTGGCTCCAGCCCCACCATTCCCAGCTCAGCGCCTGCACAACCTGACTCGTCCTACCCGGCCCTACCCCTGCCTACCTACTCTCCGGGGCAACCTGCTGGCTCCACCAAGTCCCGGTCCGACCTCCCCAGGGCAGGTTTGGATTTCTAAGTGGGGAAGAGGGAGAGGTGAACTAGTACCTGGGGCTGAAATTAAGCTGAGAGTGCGGCTATGGCCAAGTTCAGGGGCCAGGTTCATGGACAGGGATACAGGTCAGAGATACGAATGGACGTCAGGGTTAGGGCAGCAGCCATACATTAGCGCTCAGGGTTAGACTTGGTGTTAGGGGAAGAGGTCAGTCCTTGGGGTCACACTGGGTGTCAGTGTTGGGATTAGGGAAAGGTCTGAAGTCTGGTCCGTATTGGAAAAGGAATTAGGTGAAAAATAGAATTAATGTCAGGGTCAGGATGACTGTTCTAATGGGCAGCAGGAATGAGTCCATTCATTCACTGCTTTATTCATTCAGCCTTCTCTGGGCTGGGGATAGAGCAGTGTTATTATCCACAGCGACCTTCCAAACTGGGGTGAGGCTGGCAGGAGGAGGAGATCCTAAACAGACTCCCAAAGTCTCAGACCCTCAATTATCAGAGCTACAAAAGTTTCAAGTCAAATTTCTTATCAGTTGTGCAATAGAATTTTCTTTTACTATACATTCCCATGGCTCTAGATTCAAAGAGTAGCAAAGAATATACTGTGAAAAGGCTATTGACTAACTTTCCCTAAGTCAGCAAATTAAATGAAAAATGCAGCAGCTATCCTTGTAATGAAACTAATAATATGCCAAGAAAAAAGTAAACATGAGTGGGACCTCTGGGTTTCATAGAAGGGGCATAAAGCTAATCTGGCAATCAGGAAAACTCACTGAAAGAGGTGATACTTAAAGTGAAGTGATATTCAAAATGCCTTAACTTTCAGGAGAAAGTGCCAGACCACTCTCCCTGCCCTGCCCGCCTCCCCCATTATGCCACCCTTTAGTTGCATGGTAGGAGGTGTTGACTTTGGGTCTATGCCGAGACCTAAATGATAGATGGAGGTTGGTTGAGAATGAAGGTGGGAAAGCATATAGTTAGGTGGTGTGGCTTAGGCAAAGGCCCTGGGGCATGAGATCAGATAATCAGGTGAGATAATCAAATGATAGGATCTTATAAATGTTGAGCCAGCCTCTAAGAATTCCAGGACTATAGAGCGTGAGCTGTTGCTTGAGATGATGCTCAAAAAAGTCCTCCATTTTCACAGACAAGGGGACTAAAGTTCACTGCAGTTGGTGGCACAGAGCATCTCCTTTCTTTGCATTTTACAGATGGATAAACTGAGGCCCAGAAAAGTCAGTGAGCTCCCTAAGGATACACAGTGAGGGCTAAGACCCAGGCTTTCTGACTCCCAGTGCAAAGGGGAGATGGTTGTGGGTGTGGTACCTGTGCTGACCTGGTAAGAGGCAACCACAGTGACTCAATCTATCTGTCCTGCAGGCCCGGGGAGAAGGAGAAATGTCCAAGTCCCTGTGGTTCAAAGGCGGGTGAGTAATGGATCTTGGTGGGGAGAAAGAGGAAGTTTTGTATCCAGAGCTTGAGGCTGGTTCGCACCATAGCCTCAGCCCGACCAGAGCAGGGAGAGATTCCATTTAGACGGGAGACAGATTGAGCATGAGTGAAATAATGTAGCCACTGTAAGACAGTCATGACCAGCATGAGCCAAAGACAGTAACACATCAGATCCTCACAAGGAGCCCATGGGGGCCCACTACCCCTATTTTACAAATGAGAAAACTGAGTCCAGAGAGGTCTTGCCCAAGCCACTCATATAATTCAAGACCATTTCCCCCTAGACAAAATGTAAGGTGAAGAAGAAGCCCACTTCCTGCATGATACAGCTGCAACCTTGGAGTGAATTTGTTGCTTCAATTCTGCTTTTACATCTCTCAGATTATTGCTACAGTTGCTGGCTGTTTCATGACACTAGTTCTTACATGGAACATTTTTCATGTCTAGTTTCTTAAGTTACTGATTTTCCAGGGTGCTTTTTCAGCATTTGTGCGTTCCAACACAAGTCAACCCTTAATCCCTGGGGAGATTAAGTGAGGTTAGAGAATGCGAAAGATGTTTGTAAATTACACTAATATTTTAAAGGGCAGCTGGAGGGTTACTACTTTCCCTTGTACATACTTTGCAAACAGAGGCAGGGAGACAGAAGCTGTGACTCCCAGGTGGGCAAGTGTCCCAGGAGGGGAGCCCTGGAAGCAGGGTCTGAAAGTGGGGCTCCTGTGTGCATGATTTATGCAGGAGGCTCTCTCAAGAGTGCTTCCCTCACAGGCAGGGTCAGGCAGGGGAAGCAGCCAAGCAGAGACATAGCTCAGATGTCTCCAAGCCTCTGTCTGATCCTTCAGGGAGTGCTGGTGCATGAATAGCACCGCAGGGCTTGTCTGGGGTCATTGGCCGCAGGCCTCACTCTCATTGGCCAATGGGAACATTCAGGAGAGTAACCACACCTGAATTGTCTCTGGGATGAGTGCCTCTCTGTCAAGTGAATTTGGACACGCCGTCCTGCATCTGCCACAGCCCTCATTCCGATTCACCAGCTATGCCAGAGCTGCAGAGAGGAAACAGCATATATACCATTTCCTGTTTCCTCCTTCCCATGGACTTTGAAATCCCTTCTTCCAGGATAGACTTTAAATATGCACATGTATTTCCAATTTTGAGCATAAAGTTTTCATTGATTTCTTAAATACATTTTTATTTAGATTTGCCTTAATTCAAATTTTCATTAAATGTGGGCAACTGCGTCATCTCCCCATTCCTCAGACCAGGAAGTTGAGGCCCAGTGTCTTTGTTTCTTAGGGCTGCCATAACAAACTACCACAAATGGGGCCCTTAAAACAGCAGCATTTATTCTCTTGTGGTTCCTGGAGGCCAGAATTCCAAAACCAAAGTGTTGGCAAGGGTCATACTGACATCTGTAGGGGAGAATCCTTGCTTTTCTAGCTTCTGGTAGTTAGTTGCTGAAAGTCCCTGGTATTCCTTGGGTGGTAAACGAGTCACTCCAATCTCTGCCCCTATTATCACACCACCGTCTTCTTGTGTGTCTCTCTTCTTATAAAGATATCACTTATATTGGATTAGGAGTGAATCCTACTCCAGGATGATCTTGCCTGAACTAATTACTCCTGCAATGACTCTGTTTCCAAATAAGCTTCCATTCTGAGATACTGGGGGTTAGGTCTTCAATGTATCTTTTGAGGAGACATAATTCAGCCCTTAATACCTGGAGAGATCAGGTATCCTCCCCAGGGCTAAGATGATGTCTGTTGAAGGAAGGGGGACTTCCCTGGGCCCTTGACGTCCATGGGTGTCTTGCAGCCCTGGCGGTGGTCTCATCATCATTGATAGCATGCCGGACATCCGCAAGAGGAAGCCAATCCCACTCGTGAGCGACCTGGTGAGCGTCTGTGCCCTCCCCTCCCCCAGCAGAGCAGCCCTGCCTCAGGCAGTGCTCAACCTGTACAACTGCTCTTGGCAGACCTGGGGCTAGGGGCTGGCAAGGCATTCTCTGAGACTAATGTGATCTGATTTCTATTCTGTGTGCTGCCTGGACACTTCAGGCCATGGTGAGTGATGGCGACCAGGCCCTTGAATATCCTCCCCAGGCCCCCACCCTGCACTGGGATCTTCCAGCTGGCCCCCATCACATGGGTTCTGGGGAGGGAGCCTTGCCATGTCCTACAGTTCACTGATGGGGAAGAAAGCAGGTGACTCCCCACTTTGGTTAATGCTGTGGCCGGTGGTTTTGTTCTGTGGCTGGTGACCACGGCCAAGTGTAGTTCCCCAGCCTGGTCCATGGGGGTGAGGGATGGTTGAGTCAGAGATGTGGAGCTGCTTCCCTTCTAGGTAGGGTCTCTTCTAACCTGGAGCCTCTGTTACTTCCCAATTTTTTTTTTTTTTGCCATCTTTGCTCTCACTGCTGTGACCTGAATCGGTGGTCGGTGGCCTCAAACCGTGGATTCTGCTTGCGGTGATAACCTCTGGGTGCCAACGGTCCCTTCTGACTCCCTTGGTGACTTCCCTGTTTCCAGTCCCTGGTCCAGTCCAGAAAAGCAGGCATCACCTCCGCCTTGGCATCCAGCACTTTGAACAACGAAGAGCTGGTGCGTGGGGCTCTTTTCCCCAGGTTGGAGGGTGGACTGGGCTGGGGGCTCCTGGAAGAAAGAAAGTGGGGTGTGGCAGAGACAAGCACTCCTCACTTTACAGAATTCGACAACACAGCAGCATAGTCTATGCACTGGAACCGTGGATTCCACAGTGTGGAGGTGGCGGGAGTGGGGGCAGGGGGGGGAAGGGAAGCCAGTGCCCCCAGGTTAGGGCTCTATGTCACATGCCCCGCTTCTCCCGCAGAAAAATCACGTTTACAAGAAGACCCTGCAAGCCTTAATCTACCCCATCTCATGCACGACGCCGCACAACTTCGAGGTGTGGACGGCCACCACACCCACCTACTGCTACGAGTGTGAGGGGCTGCTGTGGGGCATCGCGCGGCAGGGAATGCGCTGTACCGAGTGCGGTGTCAAGTGCCACGAGAAGTGCCAGGACCTGCTCAACGCGGACTGTCTGCAGCGTGAGTGCTGGACGCGGGCGGAGCGGAGCGGAGACCCAGGGGAGGGACTGTTCATGCTGGGGCGGGGCTCTGGCGAGGGGGCGGGGCGGGGCGGAGCTAGGCTACTGGGTGGTGTTGGGGAGTATTGGGAAGGGAGATGGGCGGGAGGTCCTAGAGGGGTGGGGCAGGACTCAGGGAGGAGCTAAACTGTACATTGTGGAAGGATGAGCGTGCGTGCTCAGTTCTGTCCGACTCTCTGCGACCCCACGAACTGCAACCCGCCAGGTTCCTCTGTCCATGAAGATTCTCCAGGTAAGAATACTGGAGTAGGCTGCCATGCCCTTCTCCAAGGATCAAACCCGCGTCTTTTAAGTCTCCTGCTTTGACAGGCGGGTTCTTTACCACTAGGGCCACCTGGGAAGCGAATAAACTGTACAAGGAGCCGGACTTAATGGGAGGTAGAAGGTTTCCACGGGAAAAAAATGGATTATGGTTAGGGTTAATTCAAAGGTCAGAGAGGACTCACTCAAGTTGGGCAGAGGAGTCAGAGGAGGCGAGAGACTAGGCGAGGGCTGGGGTCAGCAGGAGGGGACTCACGGACAGGAGGGGCTAAGACAGGAGGTGGGAACTTGAGGGGGAAAGGCCTGTTTGGGGGAGGAGTCAGAGAGCTGGTAGGAGCTCTGCTATCTCGAGTGCTTCCCAAGTAGCTCAGTGGTAAAAAAAAAAAAAATCCGCCTGCCAATGCAGGAGACTCGGATTTGATCCCTGTGTCTGGAAGATCCGCTGGAGAAGGAAAATGTGGGTTGCCACCCACTCCAGTATTCTTGCCTGGAAAATCCCATGAGAGGAGCCTGGCGGGCTACAGTTCATATGGTCTCAAAGAGTCGGACACAACTGAGCACGCACTGGTATCTCTAGTCTGGGGGCGGTGACTCACCTGAACCCCGTATCCGTGGCAGCGGACGAGGAAGCCCTGGAGTGAGAATCGGGGCTGTCGCTTCTGGGAGGGGGTGCACTGTGTAAGGAGATGCCTGTCCGCGCCTGTCCGCAGGGGCGGCGGAGAAGAGCTCCAAGCACGGGGCGGAGGACAGGACGCAGAACATCATCATGGTGCTCAAGGACCGCATGAAGATCCGGGAGCGCAACAAGCCCGAGATCTTCGAGCTCATCCAGGAGATCTTCGCGGTGACCAAGACTGCGCACACGCAGCAGATGAAGGCGGTCAAGCAGAGCGTGCTGGACGGAACATCCAAGTGGTCGGCCAAGATCAGCATCACTGGTGAGGCTGCGGAGCGGGGGAGGGGCTGCCACGGGGTCCCATCTTAGCCTCCTGTGCTCGCTCCACGCTCCTTCCTTCCCTTTGCTATACATATCTGAGGGTTTCCGTGATTTTCTCATGGCTGTATGTGTGCGTGTGCGCCCACAGTTGGGCATATATGTCTCCAAACGTGTGTGCATGAAACTATCCAGGTGTATCTCGGTTGGTAGACCCTAGAACCAGACCTGAAGAAGAGATGAGGGCAAGCAGTTTACCTGGGAGGTGAACCCAGGAAGCCCCCAGGAGTATTGGGAAGTGACACCAGGAGGGGATGAGTCCTACGAGGTGGCTTTAGTGGTAAAGAACCTGCCCGTCAATGCAGGAGACATAACGGATGCAAGTTTGATTCCTGGATCGGGAAGACCGCCTAAGAGGAGGGCATGGCAACCCACTCCAGTATTCTTGCCTGGAGAATCCCATGGACAGAGGGGATGTAGGGCTACAGTCCATAGGGTCGCAGTCAGACACGACAAGCGATTTAGCATGCGCGCAGGGTGCCATCTAGCAAGCGATGTAGTGGATGTAGTGGACATCTGCAACCACTAGGCGACAGTATTGAGCTCCCAGACCTGAGAGGTCCTTCCCAGGGCTAGGGCCTTGTAGTGTTTATCCGTTCCTCATCATCCTTGAGATTTCCCGGGAAACAGATAACAAGATGAGGATTTCTGGGCAGGTGGGTATCCGTGATGTTGTCCCAGAAAGTCTCAGTAGGAGATGGAGACTTGGATGGAGTGGGAGATGCCAGTAGGAAGGACTGAAACAAGTAGTTAAGCAGGACTTTCAGACCCTCCCTAAATTTGCGAGCAGGGAGGTAAGAAGCTCAGAGGAGGATGCCAGTCAGGTCATACTGTGGGCAACTGGCGGCTCAATCCTGGGGACTTTATGGGGGCAGTGTAGAGCATACGCCCGAGAGTGACCCGCCCCAGGGCTGACCCTGGGGCACCTTCGCCTCCTTCATTGGGTGAGGTTTCCCCGGGTTGTTAAAGCGCGAGCACGTGGCACATGCGCAGTGGGTATGCTTACAGCTCTAGTGGCCAGGGCAAAGCCCTCAGTATTGGTCACAGGGGTTCCCTGTGGAGCCTGTGGGAGTGACTGTTCTTGGCCTGCCTACTCCTGGAGCCCACATTTATATTTGTTTTTTGTGTCTTCCAGTGGTCTGCGCCCAGGGTTTGCAGGCAAAGGACAAGACGGGATCCAGTGACCCCTATGTCACCGTCCAGGTCGGGAAGACCAAGAAACGGACAAAAACCATCTATGGAAACCTGAACCCAGTGTGGGAGGAGAACTTTCACTTGTAAGTGTCGGGCTGGGGGCCCCCATACGGAGCTTCCTGTTGGGGCAGCTGAAGGCGGCAGGGGTGGAGGGGCAGCGGGCTTCAAGAGCCCTGCCCCGACCTCCTCCTCCCCTCTGCAGTGAATGCCACAACTCCTCAGACCGAATCAAGGTGCGCGTCTGGGATGAGGACGACGATATCAAATCTCGAGTGAAGCAGCGGTTCAAGAGGGAATCCGATGATTTCCTGGGTCAGACGATCATCGAGGTGCGGACACTCAGTGGCGAGATGGACGTGTGGTACAACCTGGGTGAGCAAGGGTGGGGATCGGTGGGGGGGAGGGGAGGGGGAGGGAGTCCCAGAGAGCCAGCCAAAGTGGGGAGCCCGGCTGGAGGGAAGAGACAGTGTCTGGAGCAGTTAGTCTAGGAGCCCAGTCTAATGAAGGAGGAGGCAGAGTCTGTGAGCCCAGTCTGATAGGAGCAGGAAGCACCCAGGCTGAGAGCGTGAGCAGAACCTAGGCATCTGTTAGTTCAGTTTGGGAGAGTGAGAGAGGGACAGAATCTCCATATCCCATTCTGATGTGGGAGGCAGAAACAAGACCAGAGGATCCTAGTACTAGGAGAGAGGCACAGAGCCAAGAACTGAACTTTGAGAATCCAGCATAAGGGAAGAGGGAAGAGGTAGATTTGGGGATTCCTAATCTGAGAGCGGGAGCTGTAGAGCCAAGAACTCCAAGAAGATGAGTAGGATCTGTGAGCCCAAACCAAGGGCAGAGGAAGAACCCCAGTCTGAGAGGGGTGAGCAGAGTCTCGGAACTTCTTAGTTTGGTTAGAAGAAATCTAGATCTCCCATTCTGATGGGGGAGGCAGGAAGCAAGACCTGAGGATACTAGTCTGAGCAAAGAGGCACAGATCCAGGAATCCTGTCTAAGAGGATCAGTCAAGTAGATTCTGGGGAGCTTGATCTGATGAGGAACACAGAGTCTGAGAGCTCAGCCTCGGGAAGAAGCAAGGCCCTGAGTATAAAGAAGGAGATGCAGACCAAGGCATTTAATCTGGGAGAGGAAGCAAGATCTGGGATCCTAGTTAGAAGGCAGACACAGGGCTTAAGAATTCTAGTCCAATGGGAGAGACACAAGTCTAGGGAGACAATCTAAGGAGAAACTCCTAGGCCTCATCAAGGAGTCTGGGAGGCCTGCAGTTTTGCATTTGTGAAAATAGCCCGGGGCCATGTTGGGAAGTTCTGACACTGCCGTCATTTCTGCTCTGCAGACAAGAGGACTGACAAATCTGCTGTGTCAGGCGCCATCCGGCTACACATCAGTGTGGAGATCAAAGGTGAAGAGAAGGTGGCTCCGTACCACGTCCAGTACACCTGTTTGCACGAGGTGAGGCCCACTGCTCCACCTTGCCATAAATTCACCCTCATCGCCCACATTCCCTCCACTCACCATTCCTTTCTGCCCCAGCTTCTTCTTCTTCTTTCTGACCACACCATCCACACTCCTCTGGGCCACTGAAACTGTCCCCCATGCCATTCTTTCTGCTCAGAAAACTCCTCCCCATCAATCAAGTTCCATCTTCAGGGCCCCCTCCTCTGGGAAGGGGAATGGACTCCCACCAGCAAACCCCAGGTCTTCCATCTGTCTCAGCCCTGAACACTCACAGTTAGGTTCTTTGTGCCAAGGTTTGTCTCTTCTAACTGCCTGGGGGTTCCTGGAGAGAACTCAGTTTGTTGATTGAATGGATGAAGGAGTGCTGAGTGGATAAAAAGTGTGTGAAAAGATGAAAAGATCGGTGGATGGATGTATGGTTGAATTGTTGGAAGTACAGATGAGTTGAATTGGTGAATTGGGGGTAGTTGGATAGACAGATGGGCAAGTAGATGGATGGACAGATAGATGATGGATGGAAAGATGGATGGATGAATAAATTGATGGGTGGATAGATGGGTGATGGATGGTTGAATGGGTTGATAAATTATTAAATGGAAAGATTAAGCTGTGGGTAGTTAGACGGGCTGAATTAGTTAGAGGGAAGTTTGAGTAGATAGGTGAATTTGGGGGTTGTTGGAATGGTGGGTAGGTAGGTGAGTGGATAGGTGAATGGGTGGAAGGAAGGGTGGGTGGATGGATGTGTGGTTCAACTACTGGAAGTATAGATGTGTGGATGGGAGAGTTTCGGAGTAGGTGGGTGGGTGTGTAGATGCACAGACAGGTGGGTGATAGACGGGTGGGTTGACAGTTGATGGGTGGAAGGATGAATTATTGGATGGATAGTGAAGTTGTGGGTAAATGTATGGGATGGATGGATGTGTGGTTGAATTACTGAAAGAGTGGATAAGTGAACAGGTGGGTTTGGCGGTAGCTGTATTGATGGGTAAATGACTAGATGGATAGCGAGATGGATAGGTGGGTAGATGGGTGGATGAACAGAGGGATGGGTGTGTAGTTGAACTGTTGGAAGGATGGATGAGGGATAACTGAAATTTGGGGTAGTTGGATGGATGGATGGGTGGTGGATGGACCAAAGAGATGAATGAATTAGTGAGTAAACAGATCAGTGAATGAGCTAAGCTACCTTCTACCTGGGGTCTCTGACCCTTTGTGTCCCCTTATACTCTCGATGACACCTTCTCCCTTGTGGTGGCAGAACCTGTTCCACTTCGTGACAGATGTGCAGAACAATGGGGTCGTGAAGATCCCAGATGCCAAGGGTGACGACGCCTGGAAAGTTTACTATGATGAGACAGCCCAGGAGATTGTAGATGAATTTGCCATGCGCTATGGCGTCGAGTCCATCTACCAAGCCATGACGTAAGGCTGCAGGCTGAGGTGGACATGAGGTGCAGGAAATGGGGGGAGGGGTAGCTACCAAGAGGATACTGGCAGGTCTGGGGTGGAAGGGGCTCTTGGGAGGGGAATCCAGAGAGAGGTGAGTGTGGTCGGGGTTCTGTAATTTTCCTGGAGGCTAGCGAAGTGTCATTGGTGGAAACTAGAGTGACAAGGATGAGAGCTGGAGATAGAGGCAGAGATAGGACAATTCAGAGAAGAGACAGAAACTCAGAGGGCAGAATCAAGCAGGGAGTAAGGGGATGGTTTGAGGGGTTGGGGGGCTGTCTTAGAGGCACTCTGGGGCCTGGACACCAGACCCAGTGCTTCCCATTCCCTCCTACCAGCCACTTTGCCTGCCTCTCTTCCAAATACATGTGTCCCGGGGTGCCTGCCGTCATGAGCACCCTGCTTGCCAACATCAACGCCTATTATGCTCACACCACCGCCTCCACCAACGTGTCTGCCTCCGACCGCTTCGCCGCCTCCAACTTTGGGGTCAGTTCCAGGAGCAGAGGTCTAGAGATAAGGGAGAGCCTACCCTGTGCTTGTCAGACCTCACGTGACTCCCAGATCCCCAGTCTGGGCCTCACTTACTGTGTGGCTGCGCACCATTCAGTTCCCCTCTCTGAGCCTAATACTGTCCCTGTGTTGAATGGAAATGGATGTTACGAGGGGTCAGTTCAACAGTGCATGGGGTGTGCTAGCATATAGCAACCACTTAGCCAATATGTCAGCCAGCTTTGGCTGGCACGCTTGATTCCCAAGTCCCTGCTCTCGCCCAACCTCCTCCTCCACCTCTACCTCCTCAGAAAGAGCGCTTTGTGAAGCTCCTGGACCAGCTGCATAACTCCCTGCGGATCGACCTCTCCATGTATCGGGTGAGAAGTGCACGTATGATGATTCACTCACCACATGCATGTGTGTGCCTGAAGGGGACTGCTACCAGCAAACATGCATACAGGAGGACCCATCTTAGCATGTGGAATGTGTTCCTCCAACACATGTATACATTTGTGGGCAGCACCTGCTCAACACGTTTAGTGCATCCAAGAAGATACCCCCAGTTACTTCAAGATGTTCTCAGTTGCCCCTGACACACCTCTTGAAACTTGGAGGCTCTTGTGTCTTCCCTAAAACATGATCTCCCACCAACCCCTAGCCTTCTTCCATAACCCCACCTCCCTTCCATAGAATAACTTCCCAGCCAGCAGTCCAGAGAGACTCCAGGACCTCAAATCCACTGTGGACCTTCTCACCAGCATCACCTTCTTTCGGATGAAGGTAGGTAAGGGGACCTAGTTCCATCAGCTCTTTGAGGAGGATACTCCAGAACTCTAAGGTCCTAAACAAGGAACATTTCGTCTGGAGAGCGGGGCCCTTTCTCAGTGACCCTGTGCTTTCATATTGCTACATCATTTTTTGAACACAGATCCACCTGTAGCCACTTTCTGGGTACCTCCTGTCCCAATTTTGCACAACCATGCCCTTCTCCTTTCCTCCCTCCAGGTACAAGAACTCCAGAGCCCACCCCGAGCCAGCCAGGTGGTGAAGGACTGTGTGAAAGCCTGCCTCAACTCTACTTATGAGTACATCTTCAACAACTGTCATGAACTCTACAGTCGAGAGTACCAGACTGACCCGGTGAGGACCCCAGATGAGGCAGAGGGGACCCCGGGGCTCCACCTAGACCCTGGTCTGAGTCTCACTTCCCAAGTGATTTAACTCTTCTCAACCTCCATATATTCCCCTGTAAAATGGAGTCATAAACCCACACCTCAGGATTGAGGAGGAAATTCAATGAGCTGCAAGCTTTCAATAAAGTATAGTTAAGTACTTAGCATCTGGAACACAGTAGGAGCTCAATCAGTTTGGTTTTAGGAGCTTCCCAGGCGGCTCAGTGGTAAAGAATCTGCATGCCAATGCAGTAGCCACAGGAGTCAAAGGTTCAAACTCTGGGATGGGAAGATCCCCTGGAGGAGGAAATGGCAAACCACTCCAGGATTCTCGCCTGGGAAATCCCATGGACAGAGGAGCCTGGCAGGCTACAGACCATGGGATCACAAAGAACCCGACATGACTGAAGCGTCTGAGTACAAACTTAGTTAAGTCTGGCATAGTACAATGTGCCTGCAATAGAGTCCCTGTGCAATAAATGTTGAGTTGAATTGAATTTCTTCAGTTCAGTCTTGAACTCAATTTATTTGAGTATTTATTTATTTATTTGAGGTCTTTCAATACATTGTTTACACATATAATATCTCAGGATTGTCAATGAGGTTTCAAGGAGCTTATATTCTATTGGGAGGAAAATGTATAAACTGGAAATTTACAACTATAGTCATTAGCACTGGGATGGAGAAATCACAAGAGGCTGTGGGACTGAGCCCTTGCATCAGGTTGGGCTTCTGATATGAGATAACACATAAGCTGAATTCAGCTCAATTTTCTTTTATTCTGTTCATTTACATTCAGGTGACTTGAGCTGAAATCAAGTTGCTCTTAACTGGGTTGGGTTTACTTCAACTATTAATATAATCAGTTTAGATCTGTTTATTTCTATTCACTTGACTTAAGTTAAAATTGCTCTAGGCTAATTAGGTGAGCATCACCAAGTTGGACTGAGTTGAGTAAAAACTTATTCATTTCTGTTTAGTTTATTTGAAATTGTTCTTGACTGGGTTGAATTGGCTTGAGTTAGGATGAGCTTGGCTGTTGGATTAGGTATAGTTGAGTCGGACTTATTTCAGTTGAGTTTAACTACTAATATTCTCGTTTCCATTGATTGACCAGAGTTGGATTGAGTTGGCCTGAGTGTGTTAGGCTGAGATAAGTAGGTGAAGTTGGACTGGGTTGACTTGGGTTGAATTGAATTAGATTACTTTAGGTTGGATGGAGTTCAAGTTGATGTATTTCCATTGTTCTGATTTAGATTGATGTTGATCTTGGGCACATTGGTTAGGTTCAATCCAATTGGATTCATCTGAGTTTAATTCAATCCTGTTAAGTTTAATTCTGTTCATTCAGTGTAATTGGCCCCATTCCACTGAGTTAACTCTGAGAACTGCCATCTGTTAAGCTAAGCGGTTCTGATTTGCATTTATTTCGATTCTGTTTGGTTTAGTGGGCTTGAGCTTGTTCAGCTAAATTCAGTTCCACTTATTTTTATGAGTCTAATTAAGCTTTGTGAGCTGTGTGGACATGAGCTCTCTGGGGGCCTGTTTTGCTGTTGTTGTTCAGTCGCTAAGTCGTGTTTGCCTGTTTTCGACCCCATGGACTGCTGCACGCCAGGCTTCCCTGTCCTGCACTATCTTCCAGAGTTTGCTCACACTCATGACCATTGAGGCCTGTTTACATGAGTTTAATTCCTTTTCAAGAAGACCTCTCACCTGAATCATACACATGTCAATAGGGCCCTTCCTCTCTAACCTCCTGCCCCTCAATAATGAACTGTCTGAGCTCCCTACCCCTGAACCCTTTGTGATCAACATCCCCACTGTTCTTTCTAGGCCAAGAAAGGGGAAGTTCCCCCGGAGGAACAGGGCCCCAGCATCAAGAACCTCGACTTCTGGTCCAAGCTGATCACTCTCATAGTGTCCATCATTGAGGAAGACAAAAATTCGTACACTCCTTGCCTCAACCAGTGAGTTTTGCGTCTGTGTAATTAATTATCTGGAGGTCGTCGTGAACATGTGTCACAATTTTGTGTCTTGTGTGTAAAGGCAGCCCTATCTAATTATATATGAAATGTGTATATGGGGGCAACTGTGCATGTAGTTGTGCATGGATGAAATACAGCATAATTTGCAAACAGAATTGTGCGTATGTACACAACCACTGGTCTAGTCAGACGTGTTTTCTATGCGCTGATGTGTGTAACAGTGTGTACATGTAGATATAATTTTATGTCTGTAGATTCATAAATAACAGTAGTGTTGCTTGAGTATTCTCTGGGTGTTAGATACTGTACTAAATCTTTTGCATGTACATTGCATTTCTCTTACATGTGTGAATATAATTTTGTGTATAGTTGTGGTCTGTGGGTTTAATTGTTATTTGTGTATAGTCATGCACTTTAATATGTGATGTGAATTGGGTAATTACGTATGAGTGTGCACACAGTTTTGGTGTGTGGCTTTACATGTCTGTAGAATTTTCATCTGTGTTAACTGAGTGAGCTATTGTGTTTTCTTGCTCCCTATGGTGAATGCTAGAAGGACTCCTGACTCTGGAGTGCCAGCATCTCTTGGTTACTTAAATATTAAGTTAAGATAAGGGATTTTGGATGAATGGACCAAAGGGTGGATGGATGAAGGGATGTTTGGACAGGTGAATGGAGATGGATAGATGAATAGATGGATATATAAACAGGTGGATGAATGGATGGATTAACAGATGGATTAATAGGTGGGTGGATGAATAGATTGTAATAGGTGGATGGATGGTTGGGTGAGTAAAGGAATGAATGAAGGAATAGATGGATGGTGAGATGGGGGGATGGGTGAATAGACAGATGGTTGGGTGAATGGGTGGCTAGGTAGATGGATGAGTGGGGTAATGAATGAATGAGGGATGGGTAGGTGGAGGCTCAGAGAGAAGCAGGCCTCAGTGCAGAATCACTTAGCAAGTCAGTGGCTATGAGTGAACTTGAATCCAGACTCCTTGCCTGTCCCACACTGCCCTCTGGGGCTGGGAAGTCCAAAGCAGCCTGTGCCATCTGGCTTCTGTCTGCCAAGGTTTCATACATTTATGATCTTCACTAGGTTTCCCCATCTGGCTTCTGTCTGCCAAGGTTTCATACATTTATGATCTTCACTAGGTTTCCCCAGGAATTGAACGTGGGTAAAATCAGCGCTGAAGTGATGTGGAATCTGTTTGCTCAGGATATGAAGTATGCAATGGAGGGTGAGTGCCCCCCAACCCCCACACCTCCCAGCCTGGAAACAGCAGTTAGCTGTGCCTCAGTGTCCCCCCTAAGGTTTTGAGTTCCCTGGCCCCTCATATTGGAGGTCAGACTTCAGTGATGGCCAGAGTGGGCACTGCCAAGGTAGAGAGTGGTAGACACCTCTGGCTAAGTTGCCTCCTTGCTTTCCCCACCAGAGCATGATAAGCATCGCCTGTGCAAGAGTGCCGACTACATGAACCTCCACTTCAAGGTCAAATGGCTCTACAATGAGTATGTGGCTGAGCTGCCTGCCTTTAAGGACCGAGTGCCCGAGTATCCTGCGTAAGTCCCCTGTCCTGAGCCCAAGCCAGAACTGTAGTGCTGACAGCTAGACTGAGGTCCCAGATGGGAGAGTCGACCTCCTCCGAGTTCCCTGGGCATCAGACAGCTAGACTGAGGTCCTGGGCGGGAGAATTGACCTCAGATATTCCTGGGCATCAGGAGGGCACAGGTGGGGTACAATCCCAGTGTTCTCCATTCTTAGCTGTTGAACTATGGACTTCTCTAGCCAGACAATTAATGATCAGAAGATCCAGGAATCATGCTGAACAGTCCCACTTGTCCTTTCTCCTTTAATCCTTTCACCAATTCTATGAGACAGGAGTCTTGTCATTTCTACTTTTTGGATTAAGAAATAGAGGATAAAATACTGAAGGATTTGCCCAAGGTGATGTCCAATTAGTGACAGAGCCAGGATTTGAACTCAGGACATTTGACTCTTGGGCTGTGTTGGAGAGTGGGATGGTCACCATTTACCAGGACCTATTGTGTGCTCTATCAGGATCTCAGAGAATAAACCTACTTGCCCAAAGGCAGCTTAGCCACCAGGATCCCACATGTCTGGGCCTTGCTCGGGCAATGGCCATTCAGTCCATTTCAAGGGTGAAGTAGGAGGGGGCTGGGGAATGGCCACCCAGGCCATAGGTGAGTCTGAGCAGAGGATTAGGGAGGCAAGAGATGGTAGGGCCCCATCTTGGCTCTCCACTCCAGGTGGTTTGAGCCCTTTGTCATCCAGTGGCTGGACGAGAATGAGGAAGTGTCCCGAGATTTCTTGCATGGAGCCCTGGAGAGAGACAAGAAGGATGGGGTAAGAAAACTGACCCGCCACCAAGCTTCCAGTCCGCCCACAGTGGCCTCACTACTTCTGGAGTCCATTGAGGCCCAATCTGGGGGCAAAACGGCCCTTGGGACGAGGCCAGTCTCTGGAAAACATGTCCATCCTTGTCTTGCTCACCGTGTTGATGGGTCTTTTGTTCCTCTATCAAATGAATGAGAGTTTATCAAGCCTGACCCCTCCCCCTGCATCCACCTCTAAGTCTTGGCTCTGAGTTCACCTTGCCCACTATCCATCTCACTGTCATCCCAGGGCATTCTGGCTCTCCCTGTGGAAAGCAGGAAGGTTGGACTCCAGGGACTGTCTGGTTCTAATCTCTCTCCTCCCTCCATCCTCCCTTCCGATGCAGTTCCAGCAGACTTCAGAGCATGCTCTGTTCTCCTGCTCCGTGGTGGATGTCTTCTCCCAGCTCAATCAGAGCTTTGAGATCATCAAGAAACTCGAGTGTCCTGACCCCCAGATTGTGGGGCACTACATGAGGCGCTTCGCCAAGGTTTGGGAGTGTGGATGGGGTCCAGATGGGTGATGGGATAGGGTCACAGTTGGGGTTGGTGCCGAGGTGGGATTGAGGTAATGGTTGGGTTTGTTGATATCACTGGTATTAAGGTAGGGGTTGATGCCACTGTTGGGATTGGTCATGCCATAGACATTGGAGTTGTGGTTGGAGTTTGGGGTTGGGATTTGAGGTTGGAGGTTGCGTTGAGGTCACTGAGACTGGAGTTGAAGTTGGGATCAGGGTTTGGGTTGAGTTTGAGGTTGGGGTTGAGGTCAGCGTCATAGTTAAACTTGGAGTTGAATTTGGACCTGGGGTCAGGGTTAGGGGTGAGATTGAGATTTGGGTTAGTTTTTGGGTTACTATTAGGACTGGGACTCAATAAGACATTGAGTTTGGAGTGAGTACTGGGATTTATATAGAATGTGAGCAGGTGTTTGGGTGAGTTTGAAGGTTGGGGCCATTGAACTGGGGTTAAAGTTCAGTTGGATTGACTTTAACCTGGGCTAAAGTTGAGGATTATAGATAGGAACTGGGATTCAATTTGGGACTGAGTTAAGCTTATGCTTGGGGTTAGGTTACTATGACTGTTGGGTTGCTCTGAAGAGGAGCTATGTCTATGTGAGACAATCATCTCCATTGGTGGTGTCTCCCCTTGGTCATGATGGTCATCCTGGGTGGAGAATTCACCCAGCCCAGTGGTCCATCTTAGGTGCTAGTAGGATTCAGGTTCATCCCTGATCTCACTAACAGTTCTTGTTGGGCCCACCTAACCCCAGCCCCTTGTCTCACCCACCCTCTGTGTCCTCCCCAGACCATCAGTAATGTGCTCCTCCAGTATGCAGACATCATCTCCAAGGACTTCGCTTCCTACTGCTCCAAGGAGAAGGAGAAAGTGGTGACCTGCGGGGATCCCTGTCCTCTTTCCCCCAACCCCATTCTGTACCCCAGAGCATCCTTCCCTGGGCTCTGATACCTGTGTCTGCATGTGTGTCCAGCTGTGTGCGTGCGTCTGTGTGTCTGACTGTGAGTCCAGGGGGATCTACAGGTGAGGGGACACATCTTCAGCGTGTCATCCTCTGGTGGTGGTGAATGAAGCCCTCAGGGAATATGTATGTGAGCTTACAAAGTTTTGAGCCCATGTAGAAGAATATTGGTGTGTGACAGGAATTCCCCTTTCTGCTACTCCCAGAGGTCCAGCCCTTCTGGACTCATCAGGTCCAGCCTACCCAGAGGGGAAGTTCTCCTTCCCCTTCTTGATCTCTAGAGATCCCCCAGAACTCCCAGGGACCTGATCCCAAATGCTGTCTTCCATGCTCAGATGACTTTATGGGACCCCAGCTTCCTCCAAACACAGACCCTGTAACCATCTGAGGTCCCTGGCAGTTGGGGGGCGGGTGGGGGAGGCCCTGGGGAGAGGTCCTGAGCCCTGACTCCCTCCTCTTTTCCCATCTGCAGCCCTGCATCCTCATGAATAACACTCAGCAGCTGAGAGTTCAGCTGGAGAAGATGTTCGAAGCCATGGGAGGGAAGGAGGTGAGCCAGGGTCCGGGCGGGGTCACTGTCGTCCCCATGTCCCTGCAGGCCCCAGAGCTCGCACCTGATGAATTCCAGCTCAGCGACTTCATAAGACCCAAGCAAGCAGCTTAACTGTCTGAGCCTCAGTTTCCTCTCCAGCCCCTTTCCCCTGAATTGGATGGGAAAATGCCCCATCCACGCAGATGCCCTATGAACCTGACATGACGTCCCTTCTCCCTCCTCAGCTGGATGCCGAGGCCAGTGACATCTTGAAGGAGCTACAGGTGAAACTCAACAACGTCTTGGATGAGCTCAGCCGGGTGTTTGCTACCAGGTGGGGGCATCTCCAGAGCTGGGAGCAGAAGGGAGGGGACAGCCCCCAGCCTGGGGCATCTGGAGACTCAGCAGATGTAGTGGCGAAGACCTCAGGCCCTTAGGAGCTATACAAAGCTGAGTTCAAGCCTAGATTCCCTGCTTACTACTGTGTGGCCTTGGGTGAGTTGTTTAACTTCTCTGAATGTTAGTTTACCCATCTATAAAGTGGGGATGATGATAACAGTGTGAAAGTGTTGATCACTCAGTCGTGTTCAACTCCCTGTGACCCCATGGACTATAGCCTGCCAGGCTCCTCTGTCCATGGAATTCTCCAGGCAGGAATACTGGAGTGGGTTGCCATGCCCTTCTCCAGGGGCTCTTCCTGACCAAGGGATTGAACCCAGGTCTCCTGCATTGCCAGCAGATTCTTTACCATCTGAGCCACCAGGGAAGCTCAGATGGTAAAGATGATTAACAGTAGTACCTGAGTAGGACCATGTGATGAAATAAACATCACAAGTAAATACCTTAGCCTGATGCCCAATTCTACTATTAAACCCCACTCCTGTTATATGCCGCGGCTCTCTGATGCTGGTAATAAAAGGTCCACAGATCAGCCTCATCCCGCCCTTCTTCCAGAGGCCAGGAAATTCTAATCTGAGGTCCTCCTCTCTGTCCCCAGCTTCCAGCCGCACATTGAAGACTGTGTCAAGCAGATGGGTGACATCCTTAGCCAGGTGAAAGGCACAGGCAATGTGCCAGCCAGTGCCTGCAGCAGCGTGGCCCAGGATGCTGACAATGTGCTACAACCCATCATGGACCTGCTGGATAGCAAGTGAGCCAGGCTGGGTGGCCTGGGTCCACAGGGAGGGTACCCTTGGGGCTGGCCTGGAGAGGATACTCAGGGCATGCTTGCTGGGTGATGGTTGAATGGTTTGGATGGGCGGGTGAGCAGAGGCAAGAGAGATGGAAAGATGGGTGGGTTAATGATTGGAAGGATCAGTGGGTCAATATTTGTGTGAATGAATGGATGGTAAAAGACATGAGGGATGGGTGGGTGGATGGATGAGTATATTAAAAGAAAAATGCTTCGAAAGCTATATGGAGAATATATGGAGAAAAGGATGGATGGATAGATGGATAAATGGATGGATGGAGAGTGGGGTAAATATGTGGATGGATGAAGAACTGTTTGGAGGATGGGTATATGGATGTATGGGTGGGAGGATGGAAGAAAGGAAAGAAGGGATGTAGGGAAGACTGGTGGTTGCTGCTGTTCACTCACTAAGTCATGTCCAGCTCTTCGGGACCTCATGGACTGCAGCACGCCAGGCCTCCCTGTCCTTTACCATCTCCCGGAGTTTGCACAAATTCATGTCCATTGAGTCGGTTCACTTTATCTTCACTGTTTTCAATAAATTGATAGAGGAAGCATTAGGGTTGGGGGAAGGATGCTTTGGTGGAGGGTGGCTAAGTTGTTGGAAGGATCATGACGGATTGCCCTCTGTCAACCCCGCATAGCCAGTCATGAACTCTGTTGTTTTCCCTCTTAAGGTTGTCCCCTTCCCTAGCATTCCCTTCTTCTCCTGAGCATGGCCCCAGCCCCCTCATAGCCCCTTGTCTCCAACCTTCCTATTCTAGTTCATCCCCCACTCTATTCGTTCAAATAGAAAAATCTGGCTCTGTCTCTCGAACACTCCACAGCTCCCCCATTGCCCTCCTCCTAAGACCCAGGCCTTCCTCCTAGATTTTGAGGCTCCTTCCCGTCTAGCTCCTGCTGATCTGTCCAGCTACCATCCACTCTTCCCCCGGGGCATCACACACTGCAGCCCCATCAGACCACCTGGGGTCTGTGTACAGGCTTTCGACGCTCTTGCATGTCCAGGGCATGCCTTCCGACCTTGCCCATGTGGTGAGGGGACGGGGTTCCTCAGGCTGGGACCACCTGGGCCCTTTCTCAGACCTTTCCCTGTCCCCCAGCCTCACTCTCTTTGCCAAAATCTGTGAGAAGACGGTGCTGAAGCGGGTGCTGAAGGAGTTATGGAAGCTGGTCATGAACACCATGGAGAAGACCATCGTCCTGCCACCCCTCACTGACCAGACGGTGAGGCCTGCAGGGGGCCAGAGGGGACACCTGGGCCACCTCCTCTGTGAGAGCCCAGAGAGCTTGATGTCACAGGCGCTGGGGGCTTAGAGGTCATCCAGGCACAAGGGCCATTTGAGGGTCCACCAGAAGGTCAGTGGGACCTTTCGGAAATCAGAGAGGTCACACATGGGTGAAAGGTCATAAAGGGTCAAAAGGTCATTCAGGGGTCAGTTATTTAAGGGTCAAAGAGGTCAAGTAAAGAGACATCTAGGGGATATAGGGGTCATAGGAGGAACAAGTGATTATTTAAAGGTCAGAGATTACCCAGAAAATAGATCAGTGTGGGCATCAAGGCCACCCATGGGTCACAGAGGGTATAGAGGTCAGTGGGTTCATCAGGGGGCTGTGGAGGCCAATCAAGAGGCAAGCAAAGGAGATACCCAGATTTCAGAGCTCAGAGGCCAATAGAACGGCTCCAAGAGGTCAGCCAGGGGTTATAGAGAGCGCCGAAGTTCACAGAGGTCAGGCAGAGGTCCGTGGTCACCTGCAGACCAGGACCGTGCCTCCGGGACTCTTCTGGGGGCAGCCGCAGATAGTGATCTGCAGTCAGGCTCCTGGGTAGGGGCGGAGGGACTGTCGTCTTCAGAGGGGCGTGGCTGGGTGCGGCTTCCCCCAGAGAGGGGCCTAAGGACAGTGAGGGCATGTGGTTAACGGCCCAGCGTAGAGTGGGAGGAAGTTTCTGGGTGGATGAGGTGCGGCGGGGGCAGCCGAGAGGCAGTGATGGTGGGGGAAGCTGGGGACCTCCAGCTGCCCGCCCGCCCCCCTCCTCCCCTGGACTGGGCTGGGCTGGGACATGGGGTCCTCCCTTTGGTGCCGTCTCCGCCCCCTCCCTGGCTTTTCCGGGAGACTCACGGTGACTTATTCCCCCCTCCCCCACCGCCCCGCCCCCATCACGGCTGACAGATGATCGTAAGTAGAGGCCCCTCTGTCCGTCTGTCTGTCCGTCCGCTCTGTGTCTGGACTCGGCCCACCGCGTGGCTGCACCCCGCCCCCCCCCAGCGCCCCCTCCTCACCTACTGGCCCCCCACCCACTGTCCCACCTTCCGCCTAGATGTGCCTTGTGTTTGTCTGGGGTGGGGCATGGGGAGGGGCGGGGCCGGGAGGGAGGGAGGCCACGCCCCACCCTGCCCAATTAAAAGTACGGAGGAGGGGCCTTCCGCCTTCCAAAACCCGGATCCACCACCTTCACATCTGCTCACATGATTTAGTTAGAATTCACTCTTACTGCCGTGCTGAGACGCCACCAGGATATCTGGGTCTCTCCCTGAAGCTAAAATGTTGTTCAAAGTCAATGGAGCTTCTCTGACCTCCCTTTTCCACTCTGAACTGTTAGTAACCGTACGAACTACACCCTCACCACCCCGGTTCCCAAAGCTAGCTGATCAGCCAGACCGCACCATCACCCCTGCCCACCCGACTCCCACCACACATGCTAACACACAGGAATCCCAGACAGGCACCCAGGTGGGGACAATGTTGTGACTCCTTGGTGTCAGGCAGACTTGGCATCAAATCTCAGCCCAGCCGTTTTCTCTGTGATCTTGGGAAGCCACTTCACCTCCCAGCCTCCATTTCCTTGTCTGGGGAAAAAAAAAAAAAGACGTTACTTGTAGCAGCTTTCTGAGGGTTGTTTTCAGAACCAAGTAGGATGATGTGTTCAAGTGCTCAACTCCATGACTGACTAAGGCAGTGCTCGCTAAGTTAGAGCTAGTATTATTGGTGGTGGTGGTAGTATGTAGACACATAAAAGGGCAGAGATCAGTTAGAACCACTCTGGAGTCCTCTTTTGGGGCAAGACAAGGCTGTTATAAAATCCAGGGTTTGTTGAAAATTTGCTAGGGCTCATCTCACTTCTTGTGGTTGCAATCTGACTGTACCCACGTGGTGGCAGCGTGTCCAGCTACAGACAATGCATCTGTGGGTAGAGAGCTAAGGGAACATACATTTGTTGAGGATTTCCTGTATTCCAGACCTCACAGCTATTGTTTCAGCTCACCTTCATGACACCTGTTTGAGTGAGATAGATATGATTATTTCCGTTTTACAGATGAGGAAAGTTGAGGCTCAGAGAGGAAGCGTCACTGGTCAAAGCCACATAGTAAACATATGCCAGGATTCAAATTCAGGTCTGTCTGAACGCCCCTTTACTTTCCTGTCGACTCAAAAACCGAGAGCCTCATATACACAGTAAATATAAATGCATTCTATTCTGGCAGTGACTTCTCTCTCTGGCTCTGTATTTCTATTTCTCCTTCTCTCTCTCTTTCCTGCCTCTCTGGCTCTCACACCTTTTAAGTCAGTCATTAAGGCACACACATTATCCCCCCAGCAACTCTGTCACCAGCCCGCTGTGCAGTGAAGATGCCCTTTACTTCCTATCCCCATGAGTATGTATTATCACCCTGGGTTCCCACCCCACACAGCTTGCTAGGTTGATCACCCTGTGACATTGTCTCTGCAGGGCACCCTCTTGAGAAAACATGGCAAGGGATTAGAAAAGGTAATGAGGGCCTCTCCTGTGCTGAGGTCCCAAACTCTGCTGTGTGGGTGTGTGTGTATATGTGTGTGTCCATTTGCATGGGCAGGGAGGTCAGCTGGAAGTTTCATGGGTAAGAGGTGGGTGCCCTAACCAAGTCCCACGAAACCAGGAATCAGCAACAAAGTGGTTCCCCAGGGACATGGCTTGGCGCATGTGTGTTTGCGCACAGACAGCCCCTGTCCTCTCACAACACTGCCCAAAGGGCTAATCCCAGTCCTGGGCTCAACTGAAGTTCTTTGGCCTCTAGAAGGGCCCAGACACTGCACTGCCCTGGACTGAGACATGTTTTGCTCATTCTAACGGGTGTGTGTTGTAAGGAGATGGGTGCTGTGGTTGTACATGAACAGTTACCCTTGCTGTGCACCCATACGGGAGCTCTCGTGCCTGTGTGCGCACAAGGTGTGTCTCCACTCCATGAACAGGGATTGCAGGGCTTCCAACTCACCCATCAGCCCTTTGGAGGGCATGTGTGTCCAGTGTGTTCAGGCACTCTGCATGTATGTGCATCCTGTGGGGGTGGAGAGTGAGTGATTGTGCACATGTGGGCAAGTGTTGAGTAGTCTGTGTGTGTGTTTTAGCTCTTGAGTTCTTTTGCATGTGTGTGTGTCTTTGTATGTTGATCCAGGTGTGTGTGTACGTAAACTTTCTGCATACCCATGGATATGCCTGGGTGTGTGTCTGTCTAATGTGTGAACTTGTGATACTTGTGTTAGGATGTTTCTTTTAGAGTCAGACCTGCTGTAAGGTCTTGGGAGTTGAGGAAGGAGAGACCCCAAGCTCTGTCTCTCTCTTTTTCCCCCACTCCCCAAGGCACCCCATCTTGGGGCAGGCTGACTGTGGGATTGGGTACCTGTCCCCAGGTGATGGGCTGATTCTAGCCTCCTGGCCATTCAGAGTCTGACCCCTAATCCCCACCAGGGGCTGAGGGGAGGTGCCTAGGTGGGGAGGGGGTCCAGCATTGGACCCAGAACCTGGGAGGGAGGTCGTGGGCTGTGCATTGAGGAGGGGCAGGAAAGCCCCACTGAATATCTTCTCAGCAGCAGCCCAAACTCTGACCCTCACCTGATTCTCTCCACAGGGCAGGGTGAAATTGCCAAGCCACTCAGATGTAAGACCGGCCTCTCACTGTCTGTCTGGCTCCCACCCTCACCCGTACCCCCCACCCCACCCATGCCTCTTTCCACTTCTGTGATCCGTGCCGTCTGGGGGTGTACTGTGACCCTGTCTGTCGGTCTCTTCTTCCTCTGTCTGTCTGGCTTGCTTGTGAGGGGTGGCAGGGGTGGGTGGCAAGTGGGGAGGAGGGTGTGGCAGGGGAAAATGAGGCCCAGCCTGGGCTCCCGAGTAACTGTGCCTTGTGACAGCCTCGGGGAATCACAGACAAGGACTAAGAAGAGTAGCCACAGCCAGGATGATCATGCTAATACCACTAGTGTCAGGGTGACCGGATCCCACTGGCCAGCTTGGAAAAGCAGCAATGTGATTCCAAACATCCCAGCTGACAACGGCCCCCCTCCCTGCTTAGCCTTGCCCAGGACTCCCAGGCCACCCCAGGACCAGTAATTCAGGGCCCACAACCTCAGTGATACTCAGCCCACCCCCTCAACCCCCCATCATCCCCTAAGCTAGTGTAAGTGCCCCTAGCGGCCAGGGGAGGAAACTGAGGCCCAGAGAGAGCTTGAGACATGTCTCAGTTCACTCGGCATCATGATGGGGGGCAAGGGGCAGGATATATAGCTTCCACGCCAGGGCCCCGTCTCCCCGAGCACTGCCCATGACCTTGACACCGAGTAATAATAACTGTGAACACTGAACAAAGACATGTTTAGTCCCAGCTAAGCCACAAATGGAATAGGATTTCCTCCATTGGAGATGGGAAAACTGAGGCTCAGAGAGGTTCAGTGACTTGCCCGGACCACACAGCAGAGCTGGGATTTGAACCCAGGCCCACCTGGCCCATCGGAGCCATAACCAGGATGTCATCTTGCTGATGTCTGGTTTGGGGAGGAATGGGAGATGGGTCCAGAGGTGGGTGTTAAGGGGGAGGATTCTTTCTTTAAAAGTTCAAGTTAACATTCCCCTACCCACCCCCTCAGATTACCGGGGAAGTTTTCCCACAGAGGGAATGGGCCCTTGGTGGGTGGTAGGTTTCACCAGAGCCCATCCCATGGTTTTCTCAAGGCTCCATGACCCGGGGCTGGCAAGTCCCACTCATACGCATAAACATCAAGTTGGGCTTACCCCTCCCACTGCCCTGTTTTCTTCTCTGTGCCACAAACCTGGGGCCACGGTGGAGGTGGGAGGATGGGTAGTGCCCCCACAGCACTGAGATTTCTGGGGACAAGGTCACCATCTCCTCTTCAGCACCTTCTGGGGGCTCCAAACGTCTGTCCCCGGGATGCAACCTGGGGACAAGGGTGTCCAGGGCCTTTGGACAAGAACCAAGATGGCGTCCAGGGCTAGGGTGTCAATGGGGGCTTGGGCACTGAGCAGGAGGACCCCACCCTCACCGGGGTTATGTCGGTTATTACCTACAGGGCACCCAGATGATCTTCAATGCAGCCAAGGAGCTGGGTCAGCTATCTAAACTCAAGGTGAGGCCGGGGTGGGGGGCAGGAGATTGGGGTGGGGGGCTTCCCGGGGAAGAGGTCTGAGAATAGTGGCATGCTTTGCAGGCTCAAAGGACAGAAACCCTATTCAGACTGGCTTAAGCACAGTTTATTTGCTCAGTGTATTGCAAGGTTCAGCTTCAGATACAGCTTGATTGAGAGTAAAAAGAATTATTCAGCAAATGTTTATTGAGCATGTGTTGTGTGTCAGCCACATGCTAGACACTGAGCACAATGACAAAAAGAAAGACCCACTTGTCCAACTCCTTGGAGTTTAGCGAAGATGAGACCCATAGATAGGCAGATCTCCAAGGAAGAGTTTGCACTGCCCATCTGGCCCCTCTCTCCATCCATCCAGGACCACATGGTACGAGAAGAAGCCAAGAGCTTGACCCCGAAGCAGTGTGCAGTTGTTGAGCTGGCCCTGGACACTATCAAGGTGAGAGGCCCCACCCCTGCCCATCCCAGGTGGGGCAAGCAGAGGATGTGGCCAGTGGGGACATGAATCTAGGCTGCAACCCACCTTAATCCATTCCATTTATAAACACTCCCTGATCACCCTTCCTTGTCAGGTCCAGGCTGGCTGGCGGCAGACCCCTGAGGACATCCCCAGCTCTGTGGGGTCAGGACAGGGTATTGGAAAGGATGGGAGAGTCCAGGGAGTGTTTTCTGGAAGAGAGCACATGGGAGGTGGAGTCTGAGGAATAGAAATTCACAACGCAAAACAAATAGAGCATTCTTAGGCAGGGAACCAGCCCTCGCAAGAACATGGAGACATGAAAGGGGCTGTGGTTTCCATGAAACAAAAAGTGTGAAGACTATTCTTGTAGAAGGAGATGTTTTGTTGAAATGGAGAATTACAGTGAAATATGGTTGGCAACATATTAAGGAGGGGTGGTTAAGGAAAACCCTTTGAAAACTTAATCAAAGACAGGGAGCCAGCCATGGCAAAATGGAAAATTAGGGGTGGGGACTGGGAGGACCTTCTCACCAGCAGAGAAAGTGCAAAGGCCCTGAGGCAAGGGAAGACTTTTGGAAAGAAGGTTAGGAGATTGCAGGTTAGAGCTGCAAAGGGCCTGGGAGGGGGTGCAAGACATGGGTGTTATTCTGAGGGTGCTGGTAGCCCACCTGTGGGTTTGGGGCAGGGGTAAGGGTGGGAGTAGCAGGACCTGGGTTTTTTGTTTGTTTGTTTTAATATTTATTTTTATGTATTTATATATTTGGGTGTGTTGGGTCTTACTTGCGGCTCGCGGGGTCTTAGGTCTTCAGGGCAGCATGTGGGATCTTTAGTTACAGCAGTGAACTCTTAGTTGCCTCATGTAGGACCTAGTTCCCTGACCAGAGATCAAAACCACACCCCTTGCATTGGGAGCGCAGGGTCTTGGCCACTGGACCACCAGGGAAGTCCTGGGGCCTGGGTGTTCTGAAGACCCGCCCTGTCACCCCGCCCATCACAGTAGAGGGCAGCAAAGTGGGGGAGGGGCATTGGGGCTGCCCAGCCCGAAGGGCAGGTCGAGGGTCCGAGTCTGACCTCTCTCTACCCTGCTCCCCACAGCAATACTTCCATGCAGGTGGAGTGGGCCTCAAGAAAACTTTCCTGGAGAAGAGCCCAGACCTGCAGTCCTTGCGCTACGCGCTGTCCCTCTACACGCAGGCCACCGACCTGCTCATCAAGACATTCGTGCAGACGCAGTCGGCCCAGGGTAAGGAGCCGCTGGTTAGCGCGATGAAAATCCCGCCTCGCATAGGGGCAGCGCAGCCCCAAGCCCCTGCCAGGCGGCCGCCTTGGACGCACCTCCTCTGTGACGTCACGAGTCCGGGAAGAATTGACAGCTCCGGAGCGCACGTGAGCTCCATGATGTCACCGGGCCAATGAATGATCTACAGCTTGTAGGAGCCGGACCTCTGACGTCAGTGGGCTAGGAATGCATCTCCTGGGAAAACCCATGACGTCAGGGGGTCAGGATGTAATTGAAATCTGTAGAACGGGCCCGCTGTCCGCAAGGACCAGGGAGTTATTGACAGCTGTTAGGGGCGGAACCTCGACTCTGATTCCAGAGAGTGGTTGATAGCTTTACGGGAGGGACTTGTGACGGCGGGAGACAGTGATTGACATCCCTGGCAGGGGCGGGATCTCTGACGTCACGTGGCCAATGAATGATTGGCAGCTCCAGGGGAGGGACCTCTGGACGAACGGTTGAAAGTACCCTGGGGAGGGACCTCTGTACTGTCGGGAGATAAAAGAGTGCCAGCACCAGAGATGGGAGGGACCCCGACCTGGAGGGGGCGGACGGAGAGGGAGTTCTTATTTCTCAAATTCTCTCTTTCTCTTTCTTCTCTTGCCTCTGTCTCCTGTCCATCTCTGAGTTCGCACACAGCAGCTGGGGCTGGGGGGCAGGACTCTTGGGTCCTAGTTCCCCTCCCTGGGCCCCTCCTTTTCCAAATTGGCCCTAAGAGTGCAGACACGGGCGAGAAGGTTGGCCGCTAACCCAGGCTTAGTACCGGCGGTGGAAGAGGAGGCTGGGGTGAGGGGAGCTAAACCCTGCGGCCACCAGCTGCCCCTTCCCCCCCGAGTCAGCCCAGGGCTTAGGGCCCTCCCTGGGCGTCGGGCCTCTGCGCTCAGCTTCGTGCCCAGCCCACGCTGCTGCTTTTAGTGTTCCTGGTGTCCCCCCGGAGCGGGAGGCTGTCTGTCTGTCCGTCTGCAGCTGACGTTTCTCTCTCTCTTGTTTCTCCTCCCTCACTCGCCGCCCCGTCTCCGCGCCTACCCTGCTCCCCGCCACGCACACTCGCCCTCCATCCTCGCCTCTCTCTCGCTCGCTCGTCTTTCCCCTCCCTCCTCCCTCCCCTCCTTTCTCCACCTCCCCACTCCCGTGATTAGTCCATGGTGGAAAAGGGACTAGGTTTACCCTTAGTGAAGACATTTATCCTGAGAAGGGTACGTGCTTCTGCCGCCCGCCCGCCCGCCCGCCCGCGCCCGGTGCCCGGTGCCTGCACCCCTCCTGGCCCGGCTAGTAAAAGGCCCGTCCTTCCGCCTCCCAGGCCTGTGGGGCCCCGCCCAGGCCCGACTGGCTTCAGGGCTGCCTAGGCGGACCAGGGGGAAGGACGGCTTGCTGGTTCCACGTGGGGAAGGAGTAGCGATTTGAGTCGGAATCCGTTTCTCCCTAGGTGCTGCTCTTAACCCAGATCCCGGGTCCCCCAGACAGGCGCTTGCCCATCTCAGATTCCAGCTGTGCCACCCGTGGGTGGGCGCCTCCCGCAACCGGCTGCCTCCTTGAGCCTCAGTTTTCTCATCTGTAAAATGAGAACAGTCAAGGACCGTTAATTCATAAGATTATTTTTAGGACTAGACGAATTAAATTTAGAGCAGGTCCTGACATGTACTAGCTGGCCGCAATTGTTAGTTGTATTATTATTGTTATTCTTTTTATTGATGTCACTTTTATGAGCAAAGAAAACGAGCATTTTTCAGGCTCTAACTCTGAGCTAGCCTTTGTGCCCAGCACTTCTTGGGATTCTAGAAGACATTCCTTTAGGTTGCCCCAAGGGTGATCCGTTATTTCACAGATGAGGAAGCTGTCTCAGAGGAGACTAAGCCCCTTGCCCAAGGGACCTTCCCCTCCAGGGGGCCTGGGACTGGGGGATGGGGGTGGGCTGGGAGAAGCACAGAGAGGCCTGGGAAAGACACTTCCCCTTGGAGCCAGCAAACCATGGGATGGGGGCGCCCAGCACTGCCCCCCTCCCCCTTCTTACTAGCTTTGGCCGTGATCTGACCCCTCACCCCACCCACCACTGTCCGACTCTCCCCTGGCACCCCTCAGTCTGGCCCGGATTGAGCTTGCTATGAAGCATCAGCCTGGGGTGGGGGTTGGGGGGTGAGGCTGAGCATGTGACTGGTTGGGGGGAAGTGGGGTGGGAGCCTGAGATGACAAGAAAGGCAGCCGTGGGTGGGTGGCAAAGATGAGGGGGTGCACACCCCAATACTGGGGCAATGGGGGTCTTCTGCCCCCTGAGCCTTGGTCACTAACTGCACAGAGCCAGGTAACCTGATCAACCTTGGACTGACCCATTCTCCTACCCCACCCCACCCCAACTTTCCCCCTGTTCCTCCCCCCATGCATGTGGTGCTCCAGGCGTGGTAAGCTTCCTCAGGGGCAGGGGAGGGGCCTGGTGGAGGTGCTGGCGGTCACAGGTCCCCAGGCCCCACAGGATGCCCTTCCCAAGAGTTATGGAGGGTTGGGGACAGAGGCTTTGAAACTGCTCCTTCAGTGATCCCCATCAGAACCAATCAATCAGGCTGCTTGTCGTGTCTGAAATTGAAAAGTACCTTACCTTGATTCAGGCAGACTAGAGAATTTGTGAGCTGAAAGCCTCACTGAAAAGCCTGTGGATTGAATTGCCATCAGTAATAGCTGGATCTAGAGTCTCCAACAATGCCAATGGTCATTGGTCTCCATTGAGACCTCTGTGGGATGGACTCTCCCTTCACTGGGCCTTGGAGCAGCTTAACCAGAGAGAGACTCTTTCCTAGGAGTTACAACAAAAGTCCTGGGGCCAGTTCCTATTGGCCCAGGTTGGGTCACATGACCACCCCGGAGCCAATCACTGCAGCCATGGCCAGAGAAGGCTCTGATTGGGCAGCTGTGGTTCATTTAGCCATACCCGAAGTGTGAGATGGAGCCACCTGGTTGATGGGGACTGAACCAGGATGGAGGCAGTGGAGATGGGCCAGAGTCTGGATGTATTCTGAAGGCAGACCTGGCAGCATCTTCCACCATACCAGTACTTAGCGAGGAAGTGAAAACAAAAAAGGGGTTGAAGGCTGAGGTACAGGGTGCCCCAACAGTTTGAAGATCAACAGAGGAGTAGGAAATGGAAAAAGAGGGTGAGAAGGAGAGACTGACTGTAAGATGAAAACTTGGAGAGTGTAGCCTTCTTGCAGCCAAGAGGAGAAACTGAGGCACAGAAAGCCAAAGTGTCAGATGCTGCCAAGATAGTGTGAAAGATGAAGACTGAGTCTGAGGACAGGGAATGAAAAAGAGGACATTAGGCTCAGAGAAGTTAAGAGATGTGCCTGAGATCACACAGCAAAGCAGTGAAAGGCCGAGGATTCCCGGCCTCCTTATGAGCACCCATCTTCCCAGCCTGCCTTCAGTGCCAACCTGTCATGGCTGATGACCTGATGCCGCCAGCATATGGTGGGTGGGAGGCAGTCCACGTCCTTTCTGGTGGGTGGGAAAGAATGAAGCTCACGCCAAGCATCCTCCCCTGCCCTGCCCAGGCTCGGGTGTGGAAGACCCTGTGGGTGAAGTCTCCGTCCACGTAGAGCTCTTCACTCATCCAGGAACTGGGGAACACAAGGTCACAGTGAAAGGTGAGTAGCCTGAGGTGGGAGGGAGAGTGCCTCAGCCAGGATGCACTAGATTCTAAGACTGAAACCAAACTCAAATAGGCTTAAGGAAGAAATTGGTTTCTTTTTTTTTTATTTTAAAAAATGTTTTCATAAAACTGAAATGTTCAGAAGTATCCACCTTCAGACACAGCTGGATCAAGAAGTACAAAAAGTGTTACAGGACTCATTCCACTTTCTCTACCACCTCTGCTTTCCCGTTGTGGGTTTTAGTTTTCTAGTTAGAACACAGATTGGTCTGTTTTATCCAAGACCTAAAATAACAATGGCTTAAACAAGATATTAATAGATGGAATGAATCTTCCTCTGGGGTAACTCCAAGAACAATCAGCCCAGAACTGACGTGAGGGCTTCACAGTGGTGGGCATCCAGGCTCCAAACAGCTTTTGCTGTATTTTTATCTCTAATGTGTTTTCTTCCTCTATGAGGTCCCAGAGGACTCAGACCCCATCAGCTTCGCAGTCTGCAGCTAGGGAAGGAGAAAGTGTAGGGCATTCTCCCTGCCTTTAGGGCCTTCCCCGGCTGAAAGTTGTTTGCATCACTTCTTCTTACATCTCATTGGCTGGAAGTTAGTCACGTGGTCATATTTAGCTACAGAAGCATGCTGGGAAATGTAATCTTTCAGCCAGGCTTTGAAAACCACAGCTATGCACTGGGGGATCCTAAGCAGTCTTATCTTCTAATTCCCCCAACAGTGGTGGCTGCCAATGATCTCAAGTGGCAGACTTCTGGCATTTTCCGGCCATTCATCGAGGTCAACATCATTGGGCCCCAGCTCAGTGACAAGAAACGCAAGTTTGCGACCAAATCCAAGAACAACAGCTGGGCCCCCAAGTACAATGAGAGCTTTCAGTTGTAAGTCTGGGATGCTTTGGGGAGCACGACTAGGGGACATGATCCTATATGAACCTCAGGGCCCACTAGGCGGGAGGGATGTCTGGTGGACCGGTGGTTTCTGGGGACAGGAACAGGAGGGATCACATCATAAGTGGGGATGCTGGGAAGGGAGGCACCTTAGTACAGGAGTGACACCAGGATGGAGGTGACCACCTTGGGGGACACACAGGTCGGGGTCGGGGACAGTGAGTATGATATAATAGCATAATGAGGGCTCATGAAGGGGAGAAGATGTCTGGCCAGAAGGAACATGTTGACCTGGGGCATTTCTGGGGCTAAAAATTCTGGTCTAAGAGGCGTGGGTGGTCATGATGAGGCAAGAAACTTGGGTCTGAGGGACGGAGGGGCATAGGGGTGTACCTCCTGGAGTCAGCAATGAGCTTTGTTGGTGCTATTGGGGTAGGTCATCTGGAGAAGTCTGCTCTAGGGGACAAGATTGGAATGTGGCTTGGTCCAGGGCATAGGGATATGTGTCATATGGGTAGGACTGAGATAACATCTAGATGGGGCTTTGCAACATGCAAGAGTAATCTTGGTCAGGGGCGTCAGGGATCTAGAGGAGCAGATGATTTATAGGGAACATAAATAAGTCTGATCAAGGAATACCTGGAGTGAGGGAGAGGGTTGGCGGATCTTTGGATCATGTGTGAGCCTCACTGGGGCAGGGTAACATTGGGGAGGTGTTCTTGGGGGGACAGAGTGCATCAGGGTGAGGGGGCATCAGAGCTGAAGGGAGGGGGCCCCGGAGGGACAGGAGCCTGGCCAATCCTATCAGAGAAGAGCTCCTGGTCAGAGGACTTTGGAGAGGTAGGTCAGCTAAAGCAATATTTGGGAACAAGAGCACCGCCTAGTAGGGGCAGATATCTCCTGGGGGTGGGCCCAAATAGTTGAGGGCTAGGAATGCAGCCTGGGAAGGAGACGCAAGGGATCAGTGCAGGTGTAGCCGGAAAGAAGAGAGTTCTTGACTAGCCAGCATCAGGGCAGGACCCAGCAGCTGGAACTTTGTAACCTGGAGGAGGGGGAGGAGTGCTAGAGTGGGTAGTCACTCATGGTGAGACATCAGGGCAGGGTTATATTGGAGAGGGCATCTTGGGGGTAAGAAAAGTAGGCTAGGGAGCATGGGGGAGGGGCCATGTCAAGGGGAGAACTTGGGTTCAGATGGGAGCCTGGTAAAGGGTCTTCTGGGTGTCACATCTGGGTCAGGGTGGTGGAGGCAGCAGTTCAGCTGTGGGTGTGGGTGGGGTATCACAGGGTGGGAGCATGGGGCTCTTGGGGTGAGGATGTGGCTTGGCTGGGGGCTAGGAGTAGTTTCATGGGGGCGTCCTTGAGTGAGGAGTGAGAGGAGGAAAGGTGGAGAGAACCTGGGCAGGGGTCATGCTAGGGAGAGGAGTGGTCAGCTGATGTGGCCATGGCCCAGCATGGGGTTGTGAGGCAAGACACCTGGGGCGGGGGCAGAGCCAGGCTTATTCTCTTGCAAGGTTATGAAAATCAGTTCAGTGCAGTATTTCAGTTGTCTCCGACTGCGACCCTATGGACTGCAGCACGCCAGGCTTCCCTGTCATCACCAACTCCCAGAGCTCACTCAAACTCATGTCCATCGAGTCGGTGATGCCATCCAGCCATCTCATCTTCTGTCGTCCCCTTCTCCTCCTGCCTTCAATCTTTCTCAGCATCAGGGTCTTTTCTAATGAATCAGTTCTTACTAGGTTATAAAAATAGGATCCCTCAATGTGGGCGTGGCCCAGCCTCAGAATGCCCGGGTGTGGGCGTGACCCGGTGGGGGAGGAGGAGTCACCGGTGGGCGTGGTTGGCCAGGGTTGGGGCGAGATCTGTCCTCACGCTCCGCCCTCCCGCAGCACGCTAAGCGCTGACACTGGCCCTGAGTGCTACGAGCTGCAGGTGTGCGTCAAGGACTACTGCTTCGCGCGCGAAGACCGCACGGTGGGGCTGGCCGTGCTGCAGCTGCGCGAGCTGGTCCAGCGCGGGAGCGCCGCCTGCTGGTTGCCCCTTGGCCGCCGCATCCACATGGACGACACGGGCCTCACGGTGCTGCGCATCCTGTCGCAACGCAGCAACGACGAGGTGGCCAAGGAATTCGTCAAGCTCAAATCTGACACGCGCTCCGCCGAGGAGGGCGGTGCGGCGCCTGCCCCCTAGTGCGGGGCACGCAGGCAGGCGCCATTGCGCCTGCGCAGAGCGCGCAGGGCAGGGCTGTGCCTGCGCGCTTGGACCTCCCTGAGGGCGAGTCTCCGGGCTCTGAACGGAAGGCAACCTGCCTCTGCGCCTTTGATTTAGTTTCCCATTCTGGGGAAAGGTGAATGGCAACGCCCCGCCCCCTCAGGAGGCCTTGCGCCAGGGCAAGAGGAAGGAAGAAGCCACATCCCCCCTACTTGAGGCCACTCTCCCAGCGTCTAGGGGCTTTTCGAGCTGGAATGGGATGAAAACCAGCCCCTATAGAGGAGGCTAGGTCCCAGAGCTGTGTTACCTGGACGCCCTGCCTCCTGCCCCCCCCTGGAAAAGCCATAAGATGGGTCCCAACCTTTGGGGCCCGAGACCAATTTGCCAAGTATGGAACTCTCAGCTCCCTTGAGGGGCGGGCCTTGGGCAAGGGGCAGGGTTTCCTGGCACGCCCCCTGGGGTGGTGTGGAGACTGGAGGGGCTCGGGTGGTGGTTAGAGAGGCCCCCACCAAGGTGGACCAGAGTCCCTTTTGATGTTTGTGCGAAAAATAAACAGGGAAGGGGGGAGGATGGGATTTCAAAAGCACATGCGCTCTCGGGCGCCCAAACCCGGCCAAGGGGTCGGCTCTGGGGCATCCACGCTGCCCCAACTTCCCTACGGGGTTTTGCCTCCCCCTTTCCCCACTACATATCCAGTCCTTATATCATAGAGTTCAACCCACTCACTTGACAGATGGCAAAACCGAGGCCGAGAGCTGCTTAAGACAATGCCGAGGGTTCCAGTACCACATCCCCTCCCCATTCCCTTTGGCCTGTGTGCCCCTTTGAAGGGCGAGCTGAGATCGGATACCCCGACACAGCTCCCCATTGCTGCTAACCCCCGTCGGGGGACTGCCCCCAACCCTCAAAGCGGTGGGGATTCAGGGCCAAGGCTCCAGTGCCCCCTTCCACTGCTGGCTGCCAAACGAAACCCCTGCCTTCACTGCTTTCCTTTGGGACGCCAGGGTTAGATACCTGAGAACTCTTGACCTCCCACCAAAAGAGAGTGAAGATATGGGATTCCCTGGACCCAATCCCCTGCCCCAACCACTTCTTCCTCTCCTAGAATGCTCCAGTCAGGAAGGAACGGAAAGAGACCAGAAGCTTGAGGGGTGTGTGTGTGTGTGTGAGTGAATATACAAATTTGCTGGGGAGCTTACTCCCCCCAAATTTCATTCATTCATTTAAACACGCAGGCCACAGGATACCCCATGTGGAGCCTCTAGCTGCCTGAAACTCTTCCTCCACCGGGGGTTTTGGGGCAGTTTGGCCAAATTTCTCCATTTTAATTCACACAGGCATTTTGGGAAAGTTTGGCATGGCTTGTCTTTGCCCAGAATCTGCTTTTTCACACTGGAACAGTATGTGTATACTGTGGGTTTTTTCCTGTCAGATTGATAAATAACAGGATTGTGCTGTACTAGGGAAAAATTTAAACAGAGGGATGAGAAGAGGGTTAACTTGGCTACTGGAGCGATGGGGGCTACCTCAGATGGGCAAGAGCCCTCAGATGCAGAGGGCTTTCTGCAGAGGTGAAAAGTGTAAAGGAACTACCCATTGGAGAGAAAAGAGCTCCAGGCAGAGGGAACTTCAGATGCAAAGGCTCAGAAGTGGGCTAACTTGAAGCATAGCCAGGTCAGGTGGCTGGAGCTGAGCCAACCAGTGGGGTGGTGGGAGATGCTGATGAGGTTGGGGAGGCCTACAGAGGTCTCAGACCAGGTGGGATCTGGTAAGAAGCCCTGAGGAGTTTTGATTTTACCATAGAGGCTTGGGAGGCCCCAGGAGATTTTAAATCTGGGGAGAGTCTGGGTTTCAGGTTTTGACTCTCTCTCTGGCTACCTCATGAAGAATGGACTGATGTGGTGGTGGGGGTGGGGATGGGAGGGAGGACAAGATACTTTCAGGACACTGGGATTAATTCTTGGAAAGATTTTGGAGGATATATTAAAAACTATGCCTTAGATGAGCCCGAGGGCTCCCTGGTACAGATGTTCTGGTTGTGCACTGCCCAGGGCTTGAGCATCTAAGGAGGCCATGTGCAAACTGAGGGTTGTATATTTATGGTAATGGTTTTCCCATCTGTGAACAAAGAGTTTGGATGAAGCGGCTCTTATTTCTAATTTACCTGAAAGTATTTGTGTGTCCCCTAAATTCCTTGGTGGCTCGAACTGTAAAGAATCCACCTGCACTGTGGGAGACCCGGGTTCGATCCCTGGGTTGGGAAGATACCCTGGAGAAGGGAATGGCTACCCAGTCTAGTACTCTTGCCTGGCAAATCCCATGGACAGAGGAGCCTCGTGGGCTGCAGTCCATGGGGTCACAAAGAGTCGGACATGACTGAGCGTTTTGAGTGTGTGTGAATTCAGGCAGTTTCACATGACTGACGGTTCAGAATTAGAGATTAGGACGAAAGTTCTCATTCAGGATGGTGGGGCAGGAGGGCACCCCCCACCCCCACCCCAGGGACAAGGGACAGGCTAGAAGGTGTCTTGCGGGGAACTTGAAGTCTCCGTTGTGAGGCACAAGAGGGAGATTTGAACTTCAGACCATCAAAGAGGTGGAGGTGGGCTGGATGGCTGACTTGGAGATGAGGAGAGGAGCAACATCCAGAGGGGTGTTAATCTGTGATTTGGAGTAGGCTCTGAAAGACTTTTTGAATGACTGGCAGGAAAAGGCAGGGGGAGCTGAGCTTCTGCCAGAGAAAGCCAAGATGTTTGCCAAAAGCTTTATTGGGAGGTGCTCTGGTCTAGGGGTGTGTGAGTGAGTGAGTGTGTCTGTGTGTGTGTGTGTGTGTGTGTGTGTATGAGGGTTCCCCAGCACCGGCCCAGGCACATGGAGGGAGCCTCAGGGAGTATTTGTCAAATGATATTTTCTGACTCCCAGGCTAAAACTGTTTGGGAAATTTTCTCCCTCTTCTTTCCCCCAGAGAACTCCTAGTCATCCCTCAAAACTCATCACAAATATTCCCTTCCGTGGAAAACCTCTGATCCCCCTCAGGACTTCCCCAGCCAGTGTCCCTCCTCTGTCTGCCCCTCCCCCAGCCTCTGTCTCCGATGCCATGGGGCTGAGGGTATCTGTGAAAGGCTCTCTTTCCCGCCAAGATGGGGCTCTGAAGCCCCTCAAGAGCCCCAATTTCAGTGAGCAAAGGCTGGGCCCAGGTGGAGTGTCAGGGAGGGGATGTCTAACTGAATGATGTCTCAGGCAGGGAGTTTGTGTGCCCACACATTCACGTGTCTGTCCATACCAACCTTCCCCTCCCACACAGATCTAGGCACCCAGGAGGTATTCCCAGCAGACTGGCTGAGCCGCAAGGCAAAGAGTCAAGAGAGGACAGAGGGGACTGGAAGTGTTTGAAATCAGAACGCTCCTCTATGGGAACGACAAGGCTTAGAGAGGAGCAGCACTTTCCTCAGGGCCACCCAGCATTGGATGATGCCTTTGGGCTTCCACCGTTTCACCTGGGGTGCCTGGGGTTCTGAGCGCAGGTGGAGTCCTGGCATTGCATTTGGACCTTGCTCCATGCGGGGAACTTGCCCCAGATTTTCATGGATCAAGAAAAGGATAAAATAGGCTTGTAGTGGGATCGAGGTGGGGGGTAACATTGAGGGACATAGCCAATCCTCCCTAAAAAGGGAGGAGACAGTAAGGACCCAAAGAAGAGAAGGGAGGGAAGGAGAGAAAAGAGGGGTGGGCAGACAGACAGGAAGAAATCAAGAGGATCAGATCGTGCCCAGATGGGAACAGCCAGAACTTTGAAATGAAGAGAGCGATTCAGAGGTGGGGCTGCAGGGACAGGAGAGAAAAGGCAAAAACAGAGAACTAGAAGGAAGAGGGACCTCCTTGCCCTCTCCAGTCTGTCCTCAAAAGATTTACCTAAAATAAGGAGGTGCCCAGTTGCATCCCCCAATCCTATTTCTCCGGCACTACATCCTGAAACCTCACCGTGCCCTCATCAGAGATGCAAAAAAAAAAAAAAAAAGACTTAGCCAACTAGAAATCCTTGGGACCTCTCTCGGCTGGGACCTCAGAGACCTTTCTGTCCTTCACCCCCAGCAATGTCCATCTTACAGGTGGGAACACTGAGACATGGGGGGCAGAGGGGAGACAGCCCAGAGTTGCCCCAGTTCTGCTGCCCAGGCAGAGAGGAAGGGGAACTCACTGTGGAGCTGCTCTACATCATGACCCCTGCTGTCCCCTGAACATCCTTTCCTAATAATTGTCGAGGACCAAAGTCATTTTCGCTGACACGTGTTGCTTTTCTCTTTGCCTTTTTTTTTAAAGAGACAAATCAAGTTGACAGTGTCAAGTAAGACCCTCTCCGTCTGCCCCCCCACCCCCCGCCCAGCCATAGTGACTCTTGTGCGAGGCACAGGTCACTGGCGGACGGTCCCTAGGCATCCCTGGCTACACAGTCAGGGAAACTCAGACCCCACCACTGGCCCCGGCCCCTTGAGACCCTGAAACCTGGCCACGCAGTCCAGGGAGGTTCTTCCTCCACACACCTTCTCTTAGCATGTGATTGCAAATGTGAACTCAAAATGCTGTTTGTCTGCTTTAATTCCATCCCGTCAGTCTGGCATCTGCACAGATGTCCCCATTTCTCTGTAAATATTGGAACAAATGTTTAAAACCAATGAGAAGTGGTCATGAATGCATGGTGTTGAGATGTTTTGCACTATTCTGACTTTTTGGTCTCTGTAAAAATATTTTATTAACAGCAGACATTAAAAGAAGAAAAAGCACACAGCCTCGGGTGCGTGGTGACCTCCTTGCCTTCCTAAATTAGCAAAAAAATCACATAGCACCTACTGTGAGTAGCCACTGTTTAATATACTTCCCGCCCACGAATGCAAATCATTACAACTACCATGGTTCCGTTTTACAGAGAAGAAAGCAGGTCCAAGGAAGGGAGATATTTCGGAAGGGATGGAGCCAGGATC